ACTTGGGCAAAATAGTTGCTTTTTCCTATGGAGCTGCATACTAGATATCCAATTAGATATCAGTGGGCTCGCTCGTGGAAATATATTATTGGCTTAATAGAGCCGGGTAGTTGGGTATACCCAAGGGTATACCCAACTACCCGAGTTTCCTAATATCCTGGGGCCCCCGGGGGAGCGAGCCCAATTCCTGGGTATTTAAAAACAATATTCAACCCGTTCGGGCGCTGTATATACTAGTTTTGTATAAGATATAACATGTAAAATTTGTATTCAGCAGGTTATCCACAAATTATATAATTACTACTATGATCCTCGACACTGACAGAATTTTCTCATTTTTCTCAAGATAAATCAAGTTTATAATGAGCTTTAAGCAGAAGTATGGTGGTGCTATCCATAGTGTAGAAAATATATATTCCACCTGAGTATGCAATGAAAAGACCACATTCTAAATCAACTGACTTCCACTGATCAGAAATGCTTTGAAATCAATATCCACCTAATTTACGCTGTAGGCTTTCATATAATAGGTCTCTTCTTGTTATATTATAGATGGTAGGTATGAAAGAGATAGATTATTAGATTGTATGATAATCATTGACGTTGTGACGGGATAGGAACCGAGAAAAATACATGCTAGTGACTAAGGATTTTTATGCGGAAAAATTGTGCAGACTTGGGTATAAACATACCCTTGGGTATGGGTAAATGGAACTTGGGTATGGGTACGAGACCTGTACCCAAATGGGTACCCATGTCCAGGTCTAATAAATAATGCCATGAAAGCCATAAGTCTTCTGATAGTATTGCTGAAGTTTTTGCTTTGCAGCTACCAGACCTTGGTAGATTGCCTTTTTCCATGCTGCTCTCTTTGATCCCAGGTGTTGATGGAATCCTCAAGGTGGTTGAACAGAGCATCATAGATTCGATACACCTAGGGTTATATGAGCAAGCAAGAATCAAACTGCAGTTAAACTGGCATACCTTATGGATTGTTGCACCGGTGTGTTTTGAGAGACTCTTGGTGTATAAGAAGAAGTCAGAAAGCAATTGGAGCAAATACTCAACATGTCGCCATTCATGATTATCAAGGCCAAGGACTGATATGTCTTCAGCAGAGTGAATAATGAATTGTCGGATGTAGTGGCGGAGTGCATAAGCTCGTTCCAACATCAGGTATGTTGAGTTCCATCGAGTTCGACAATCAAGGATAAGAGTGAGAGGGTGAGCCCTACCATTGTTCTCATCCATTCCTTGAAATTGGCGAAATTGCTGACGTCGTTGTGGACTGGCATTGATGAATCATACAATTTTCCATGTCTCAGAGGTAGGTTAGTAGGAGTGCAGAAATAGAATACAGATTAGGTCCCTTAACACACCTTTTCTAATGTTCGCAGCAGCCCAGTTTCTCGAATAGTCTTATCCCTATCATCCCATTGTGCAGTTGGGTAATTACTGTTACTCTGAATTCGGAGTTCTTGTAGAAAGGCACGAGCCGCAAGCTGAATGACATGAGTGAGACAAGGTAGGTGATGCGGTGCATGAAGCAGTTGATGGAATTCAGAATCATAAGTCTCAGAAAATAGGTCAGGTGTATTTGACAGAACATCTTGTAGCTTTTTTCTTGCCTCTGGATCATCAAAATCAATCAAATGGCCAGCAATGTCGAAGTACATTGTTCGGAATTTTATGCAATTGCGGTCCCCCGCGGTCAAGACCGCAAGGGACCGCAAGGGACCATGGTCCGGTCCGGTCCTGACATTTCAGGACCGCAAGACCGCGTGGTCCGGTCCTTGGTCGCCGACTATAGGACCGGGACCGCACCATTTCGAGGCCTAGCCGCAGCCTAGCCTCGAGTCCATGAATCATGGTCTATCATAGCTCTGGGCTCGATATGGACAATAAACTTGATTAAAAAATAATAATAATAGTCTCATAAATTTGTTCTCAATTCTTAATCTAAAACGCGCTAAGCCAAGTATTTTTCGGCCGTAACTAGTTAAACTCCGTTTCAAATAACGCCAAGAGAACCATATCAGATGTAATTTATATAAATCTTCCATAGCAATACTACCTCTAGGCCCCGATTTCCCTGCTGATCATATTTCTAGACAACAAGCAGCCTTCTCCAAGCATTACCTTTGAGCGTCACAGGGCTAGTTCACGTGACAGGACACCGGAAACTTTCCCAATCAAACCTACATCCCATCTGCCATGTAACAGAGGGCCAGTCTCACATTACGTCTCAAATGGGAGAAGACCCTGGACCATTAAAACGGGGGTAATGTGGGAAGAGGGAAGGTGGTATAGATTCCCTAATGATATTGGGGTTTTCAGCCGGCAATCTATTCGAGATGAGACACAAATTCTAGTGATCAATCAAAAATCTATCTGACATGCAGTTGCGCCATATAGCTACAGGGTTTAAGTTTTATAGACGCAAATTTAGGCTAGAACAAGGCCGATGAATCTTCCTTGCCAAGAATCATGTACCAGGTGCTATTAGCCGTGACACATTAGGAAAGGGATCTGTTCAGCTCGGAATTGAGGGCTTTATTTCGCCAACGGATCTTGGCTCTTACCACATATAAAGCGAGCTGTTTGTCTTTATCCCAGAAGAAATCGGATATTGTCTTTTGGTTATTTGTTCTTTCCAATTCATGCTTTTTCGCTATTACTGCTCGGGGTTTTCTCAGCTAAAAGAATAGAAATGTTCCCAAATATGGTTCAAGTTAAAGCAACAGCTATTACCCTCCTCCTTGCTAGTCAGGTCCTAGCAAATCCCCTTGGGCCTCGACAGGACTCTGTGGGCATTGACGCCAAATTCAAAGCTCACGGAAAAAAGTACTTGGGAAATATCGGTGATCAGGGAACTCTAACTGAGAATACGAAGAACGCGGCAATTATCAAGGCTGATTTTGGTCAACTAACTCCAGAGAATAGTCTGAAGTGGGATTCTACTGAGCGTGAGCACACCAGTCATCTAGAGATTTATTATGTTAAATGCTCATTGAAAATAAAGCCTCACAGGGAGAATTTTCATTCACAGGGTCAGACTATTTGGTATTACACCTATACATTCCGCAGCCATCGCTTCTTTTCAGATTCTTACAGACTTCAGGTCAACTTTGCCCGGTCAAATGGAAAATTGGTTCGCGGTCATACTCTCGGTGAGCTTTGGACGTCCAGAATTTGAGCATCACTGCGACGAAGAAACTAAATCTGGAAATAAGTGTGGCACTCCCAGTTACCAGCCTGGGTCTCTTCTATAACTGACAGAAGCACCCTAATCAACGTCATGAAAAACCACATTACCACTGTCATGACTCGTTATAAGGGTCAGGTTTACGCTTGGGTTAGTTGACCTTCAAAATAAAACCCTATTGAGCCAAGTGACTGACCAATCTAAGGACGTCGTAAATGAAATTTTCAACGAGGATGGCTCTCTACGCAACAGCGTGTTCTACGATGTTATTGGCGAGGAATACGTGCGGATTGCCTTCGAAACAGCGCGTGCTGCAGATCCCAATGCCAAGCTTTATATCAATGACTATAAGTGAGTGACAGCATTGAGCCCATTTGGTAATGTAAAAGCTAACTATTCCTAGCCTGGATAGTTCCTCTTATTCTAAAGTGACCGGTATTGTCAGCCAGGTCAAAAGCTGGGTTGCTGCTGGCATCCCGATCGATGGTATTGGTAGGGTTCCTGCCAGCCCAATGCACGTGACATAATTAATCACCTTCTCTATAGGATCACAGACCCATTTGAGCGCCGGTGCCGGTGCTGCAGTCTCTGGATAAGTACCTCTTGGCCTCTGTTGAGTCGGAACCAAGCTTACAGCCTCAAACAGCCCTCAATGCTTTGGCTGGTGCAGGAACTACCGAGATTGCTGTCACTGAACTTGACATTGCCGGTGCCAGCTCTACTGACTATGTTAACGTGAGTTTTACCAATGGCATAATCGACCATTCACTAATCATTTACATTCGCAGGTTGTCAAAGCTTGTCTTGACCAGCCTAAATGTGTTGGAATAACAGTTTGGGGTGTTGCTGATCCGGTAAATGACTCTTCAAATCAAAGGAAACGCCGATGTCTTATTAACTGTTGTTTACTTAGGATTCTTGGCGCGCCAGCTCCAGCCCTCTACTTTTTGACAGCAACTATAACCCCAAGCCTGCGTATACCGCTATCGCAAACTCTCTCTAACGGCGAAACTTTTTCAGGTTCTATTTGAAAATTTTGAGGGTCGAGTTGCTCCAAAACAGGCGGAATTCAGATGATGCTGGCCAGATCACAGGAAAGTATTGGAAAATGGGAAGCGGGAGCAAGATATTTAGCCTGTTGTTGAATGTTTAGGCTTGTTCTATGGCTATTTGTGTGTAAATTCGCGGCCAGCAGTGCATCAAGACTTAAATTATCTGTGATACTTATTTACACTACCTTGATCTCTAACAAACCCCTATTCCGATGCCTAGATTCTTTTTTCATTTACCTCTTACTGCATAATCGGGCCTTGTGCTATTCAAGTAGAATCATAAGCCCTCGCTCTCATTATTACCAGATTCACCCAAGTGTTTCGGACCCTGCAGCCGCCCACTAAGGAAAGGGTCGCATACTATTTTTAACTGGTCAAGATCGGGGCGAATGTCGACTACGGAGAATAATATAACTTCGACCAGGGGGCTTTTCAAGTGAAGAGGGTCTTAGGGATGAGGCCCGTCACCCCTATATTGCTCTCGCCGCGCCTTGGCGATATCCAGCAACATTCTGTAGGTTGAAGGTCGTCCAGGCCGTCCGCTCCATCTTCACCCACAGGTATTCATCTCGCCTCCAGATATGGTAAGGCCCTAACCATCAGAATCTATGGCACAGGCTTCTTCGTCCATTTCCTTTTGAAATTCTCAAGTAGATTCCTGGCAAGACTGTCACAGGTTGCGCCTGGAGAATAAACAATATGTTACATGACTACCTACCCCGCATAATATGCTTTTTTAATATAAAAGGCTGTCCAATGGGACACCCGTTCTTCTCTTCTTCAACGAGATCTCTTGTGTGATAGCTAGTTATTAGCGCTGTGGGCTTAGCCCTTAGCAAAGAAATTTGTCTTGCCAAATTTATATCAGTCATCACATAGAATCTGATGACACCTTAATATATTCCTGAGTGAATCAGCCTTATCACAATGAGGAGATATCCATACAGAACCAACCCATTTATCATGAAAATCAATTATGATTTATCCGATACATTTACCCTGTCCCAGGAGGCAGTCGCCACAACTTTTTCAATACATATGCGGCGCTATTTTAGCACAGTGCTCTAAAGCAGAGATCGACACGGAGCTTGTAAACACCCAAAAAGGAAAATTCCGACGGGTTAAATGGCTCTTTTTTTGCAGGATGACTCTTTTCCGGAGGATTCTCGGGAGAATAGGGTCCGTTTCGCTAGCATGGTTTCAGGTAGAATATACCAGGTAATTATCCGGTAGACGCATCATGGGCGTTATCCGTAAATAGATTGGCCAAGCTATTCTTTTTATTCGGCCAATCAATGCCAAAGTTCTACATAAAGTATATAAACCAGGCTGATCTCCGCTTCAACCTCCTGCATCGCATATCTGATTTTCAGTCCCTTCCTCTTCTCCTACCTTCGCGAAGAGCAATCTTTACAATGAGATTTCCAAAGACCCAGACTAGCCTAATCTTTCTCGCATCAGTGCGTGCTATCTCAGCGAACTGTGATCTTCCATCGACCTACAGTTGGACATCAACCAGTGCACTAGCGAATCCCCAGTTGGGATGGTCGGCACTCAAGGACTTCACCAATGTAGTCTATAACGATCAGCATCTCGTGTATGCGTCTACCGCCGATACAGCTGGGAATTACGGCTCGGTGGCCTTCGGTGTCTTTTCAGACTGGTCTGACATGGCTTCGGCGACTCAAAACACAATGAGCCATGCAGTTGTTGCACCCACACTGCTCTACTTCAAGCCGAAAGACATCTGGGTTCTAGCCTACCAATGGGGTTCTACCGCGTTCTCCTATCGGACATCAAGTGATCCCACCGACGCCAATGGATGGTCATCGGAGCATCCCCTTTTCTCTGGAAGTATATCTGACTCCAGTACCGGCTGTATCGACCAGACGGTCATCGGCGATGATACAAACATGTATTTATTTTTCGCGGGAGATAATGGCAAGATTTATCGGGCTACCATGTCCATTGACGACTTCCCGGGCGACTTCGGCACAGAATCAGAGGTGGTCCTGAGTGATACTTCCAACAATTTGTTTGAAGCAGTCCAGGTGTACACTGTCAAGGACCAAACCAAATATCTTATGATTGTCGAGGCTATTGGGTCAAACGGGCGGTATTTCCGTTCATTCACGGCCAACAGTCTAGACGGTCCGTGGGAAGCGCAGGCGGCAAGCGAGAGCCAGCCCTTCGCTGGAAAGGCCAACAGCGGCGCCACTTGGACAGATGACATCAGTCATGGTGACCTGGTTCGCAGCAACCCCGATCAAACAATGACGATCGATCCATGCAATCTGCAGTTTCTTTACCAGGGGCGCGATCCGAGCTCCAGCAGCGACTACAACACCCTACCTTACAGGCCGGGAGTGCTGACACTACTGCAATAAAGCGCATGTTATATATTGTTTATGTTCGTTGATCACTCGCCATTGTGTATGAATGCATGGGATCTTGCAACAAGCGCCGATCCTTCCTTTCTCATCATTGGTGACAACAACAACCAGAGCCATGCCTCGTTCAATACTGGACGACATCTGTTGACTGCTCCTGCTCTTGTCAACAAGTGATCTAGCTGATAATATGCAATGCCAAAGACAATTAGCTTGCATCATATGAGTCACAGTCCAGCTGTTTTCGTTCTGGTTTTCTCTGAGAATATAAGGGCCTATGTACAATATCAAAATTGGAATCATGTGCGAGCCTCATGGGTTGACATCTCTGGACTTCCTGTGTTATACTGACAGGGGGAACAAATAGAGATCAATAGCTAGCTTGAACTCTGTTTCGCCTTCCGGGGAGATGATATGAATAAAAACATAACATTTGTGTGATCTTGCCTCCCTCGTATCATAGTAAAATTCCAATTGACTGAATTTCAGAGTGTAGCTAAACTTGGAATCCTCTTAAATGCAAACCCAAACTGGAACGATGCCTCAAGATAACAAACCGTATAATCAGTGACCAACTGATCCCAGGTAAGAACGTATTGGTGAGTGTTCGCCCCCCGCCAGGCCAGACAAGTATCTTTCGTGAATAGATATACAAGGGGAGTCTGAACTGTAAAGCTATCCAACGCTTGATTGACTGCATTGATTTTGTAGAACTAAGCACACGAAATGAGCGTCCTCATATATATCCAAGGCACAATGTGTGGTGACGGCTCACCCTCTATTGTGTACTCAACCATGCCAACCAAATAGCGGCCTTACTCTCCAACGAGCTTTAAACATTAATTATAACTTCAATCAGAAAGTCAGTACATACGACCATAGGGTGTGGAGAACAGGGCTTCCCGTCTGCTCAGCCATACTTAAGCCACACTATCCGCACGGTCAATAGTTAAAAAGCCCTAAGCTCCAATATTCTTCTGGAATCAAGAAGTGGGGCAAGTGTAGGTGATATGGGTGCGATCTCTAGCTTCTAGCACCAGGGGTGTAATTTTGACACCGGAGGTGCTCAGGATCGTACAGGTGAGCATAGGCCTCGAAATGGGACCGCAAGAACCGCAAACCAAACCGGACCAGACCGCTGTGGTCCGGTCTTTGGTGCGACGCTTAGGGACTGTTGTGCGGTCCTTGGATTTTCAGGACCACATCACAGGGGTCCAGTTAAGACTTGCGGTCCTACAAACAAGACAAACATAGAAATTCTGTGATATGCATACTTTATGCAATACCTATCTGTATTTTCTGGTATTTTGCTTACAGATTAGTTTGAATGTTCGATCAAAAGCCAGGTAGGTAGGGTATAGTTCAATAAAGTTTAGATTAAAATGGGGCTTTTTGAATTTATCAGTCTATTAGATCAATAGCTGTCACGGGCTCAATAGCTAAAAGATATTGACGAATTGATATTCCTATCTAAACCAACTAGTAGCCATCGACGAGAATATCGAATCTGGAGAAGAAAAGAAAATAAGAGGCAAGTCTATTTACGTGAAGTCCCATATGGTTGTGTGGTCTCGCTAAGCAGCTTGTTTGTCTTGATTGTTTTTATGGTATTGTTTGCCGTGGTGATGATGTTTGCTGATGGAGACGCTGGGCTGAGCCGTTACACTACCTAGGTAGAACCCATGAGTTGGATGTTCCATTATCCTAGTAGAGCGCCGTGACGAATATGATGCTACGTTTGGCTAGATGGGCAAGAACACTTTTATAACATTTGGCCAGTAGGGATCATTTACTGTTGTCATTCTAAGCAGTAAGCCTTTATGACAATTGGTTCTATGTCCTTAGTCCGCACGGCCTTGCTTGCTCCTAGGATGTCCAATCCTGCTCTTGCGAGATAGAAGCTCGCTCCCCAGACATAGAGTAACCTCTGGAGCGAAGTAAATCTTCATGGGAGCTTAGTTTACCCCACTATCTCTGGGAAGATTGGTAAGAAGCGGAGCAGCAGGAATGGTGACCTCAATTCCCTGTTCCATTGATGACGCCACCGCTTTGTTGAGGGGGGTCAAGTGCTACGAATAAAAGTGGAGGCCGGTGAAGCTAGCATGGTGCGTTTTATTGAGGCTATCTTGGTCAGGCTACTCACCCCTCTGCTCAGTCTCTACTCAGTGATCAGCTCAGGCTGCTCAGGGCGTGCTCAGGGCATGCTCAGGTCTACGCAGTGAGCAAACAGTGAAGAGGGCTGAGCACGAAAACGGAAAGGGCAAGCCTTCGAGCTGTCTAGAAAATCAAGTACATATGTACATCATGCCCTAGTTCCCTAGTTATCCACTAAATCCCACACTTAGGCAATACAATATCTGACGCAATCTTCTCCGCAAGCATATCTATACTGGTTAGCAGGAATCATTCCCAGACGATGAAAACACATACAAATTGTCGACTGAGGATGCCCCGGAACCAAAATCGGAAACGAACTGGCATCTACCACCCTCAATCCTTCCACCCCATACACCCTAGCTTGACTATCAAGCACGGCCATGCTATCCTCACGAATGCCCATTTTACACGTACAGGCAGCATGGTATATAGTCATTACGGTGTTGCGAATGACATCCAAGATCTGTTCGTCGGTTACGTATTCCGTGCCAGGGAAATACTCGTCTCCCACAACGATAGGCGCCATGGCCTCATTGTGAAATGCGGCCCGAATTCGTTTATATGCAGCAACGGCTAGCTGCTGATCCGTTTCTGTCGACAACCAATTCAGATTGATTTCCGGTAGGTCCTTTGTATCGGCAGACTTGATGGTGACATTTCCACTGGAGGTCGTCGCCAAAATACTAGCCAAGATAGTAGCGTACTGCGGACCGCCCTTTGGTTGCCCGAGGAAGGGCCTAGAGAAGTTGCCGACAAACGCAGCAGCTGAGAGGTACTAATCCCATTGTTAATTTCCCCCTATAACACATATCCGAGTCCATACCTCAATCTCAGGCCAATCATCCGGAAACCAAGCAAGCTCCTCTTTCGTTTTCGCAGAAAAGTTAGACCGTAATGCTTCGGGAACCTTTTCAAAGGCGATATAATCGGTGACTGGGTTCGTGAGCATTCCAGCGCGAGCGGTGATGTACTTCGTCAGCTGCTCGGTCAGAAACAAAGGATCTGCAGCCAGCTTGGTGAAAGTTTCAAGAGCCACTTGGTAGGTTGGACCGAAGAAGACATGATCCCGTAGGTTCTGACCAACTCCAGGGAGATTCGAGATAACATCGATACCGTGAGTCTGCAGGGTATCGGCTGGTCCGACGCCAGAGACCATCAAGAGCTGTGGAGACTGGAAGGCGCCGGCTGATAGAATGACTTCGCGCTTAGCGCGTAGTGTATAGGTCACTAATCCCGTCTTCACTCTCACGCCAGTTGCTCGTTTCGAAGAGTCAAACAAGATCCGCTTGGCTAGGGTACCGATATATACTTTCAAGTTCCGTAAGCGCTGTGAAGACGCCTCGTGAAAGAAGGCAGTTTTTGAACTACTTCTTGTCTGATCAAACGGCCGAATTGTCGAAGTCGAGTATTGGGATCCGTTCAACGATCCACTATTGAAGTCCGTTGTCTCATGGATGCCAATCGCTTTGAGTCCCCGTTCCATCCAACTGGAAAATGACATAGCGTAGTCGGAATAAGACACATGAAGAGGCTCGCCATGTTTAGCAAAGGCATCCATATTATACTGCGCCGTGGCATTGCAGGAGCGAAGCTTGACACTCGGAGGCGTAAAACCGACGGTCTTCGTGAAGAACGGGAACACGCTATCGAAAGCGTAACTCTGGTCCTGGACGAGATCGGCCCAGAGCTGCATCGACTGCTTCGTCGGTCTGTTCACTTTAGTATCAGACACCAGCGTCAAAGGCCTAACTACATACCTCTGATAGATCATAAAGTTCAAAGCCGAACTAAACACCATCAGCTTTGCAACCACTCACGTCAAGGAACAGACATACGATCCGCCCAAGCATTTCCCCCGGGGATAATGAACATCCCTCCCATTCGCCCCAGGAACATTATACGTAACGAAATGCCAATCAATCAAAGACGTCGACTTGGGATCCGATCCCACGCCCAAACTATCCGCCCCAGGTATTTTTGCAGTCCACGACAAGGTCTCGTAGATCCCTCCTGCTTCGACCAGGGCTACACGGTGGTTGTGCTCAGCCAGACGAGATGCAATCGTTATACCTGCGGTGCCGCCACCGACCACGATGTAGTCGAATTCAGCATCGAGGTTGGTAATGGCGAGGAGTTCTTCAGGAAAGGGGTCGGACCAGGTGGGGGTACTGGAGGAACAATTTGGTGATGTTGTGGTGGCCAATGCTAGGGCTAGCAGGAGGAAGAGGTATGTTAGGAACATGGTGAAGAAACGAGGGACTGTCAATGTGCGAGATATCACGGAATGGGATGGGGAGGGTAGAGAGATGGAATGGTCAAAGACATTCTGGGAATCGCTAAGGATATTAATGGCAGGCTCGAGGTCGTTCTTGCGGCAAGCACCACCGAATCGGTGGCAGTCTGGTCGTTCTTTCCCAAACTGAAAATGATCCTGGTACTCCGCCCAGCCATTGTCGTGAATATGGGCATTGGTCAGCAACATTAATACAAACGGATCGCTTGCACCGTGCAAACAATGAAAATAAACAGTACATATAAACCCATCACCATCTCTTTGACACCCGTAACAGCCACTCTCTCCTACATCCCCCATCCTCCGAACTGTCATCTCCCAATCTCCCACGTTATCTATATCGCAAATATCATACCCCAGACCACCGAAATGACCACCCACCCCTTCTTCTCCTCTTACCCAGATTTCACCCCCAACCCAACCGCCCCCATAAGCAGCGACTTCCAACGCCTCGCCGCCCTCCGCAACTGGAAAACTAACTCTAAGCACTGGAAGAAAATGTGGAACAAGTGCATGAATTTCGAGTACGACAAATTGATCGGGAACACGCTTTCGTCACTGCAGAGCTGGCAGGGGCTTTGCGAGGAGGTTGGGTTGGGAAATGGGGTGCAGTTTGGGTCGATTAGGAAGTGTAAGATGGTATGTTACCTGCTACTTCGTTTTTAATGAGGGGGTGGGAGGGTACTGATGATAGTAGGCGCTGCAGGGTGTGTTTGTGAATATTGTTGATTTGCTTGATGCGAGACGGACGGGGACGAAAGTGAAGACGTTTAAGAATATTTGGAAGTTGAGCCACTATACGAAGCAGAAGGGAAAGATGTTTAACAGGAAGTTGGCGAAGCAGGATAAGTTGCTCAGGGTTCTTTTAAGGGTTCTTGTTTAGGGCCGCTAACTGTGTCAGGTCATTGGGATGCTTTAGATATTTGGATGGAGATCTGGATATGGATCTTGTCAATAGCTTTTGTCGAATTATCAATTCATAATTAATAGATCAGCAATTAGTAGACTCTGATATTACCCGTATAATACATTATATACGCCATACTAGTCCAAACAAGCAAATACCCCACGGAATCCATCATAGATCCTTCTTGCCAGTACTCTGCTGCTCATTCGCCAACACATATCCAACAGCCCGTTTCAAACCCTCATCAACAGGAACAATAGGTCGATAACCCAAGCGAAGCTTAGCCTTGTCAGAAGAGTAATACCGCGTCATGCACGAATACCGAACCATCCGTCGGGTCAGACGCGGTGTCTTGCCAAACAGACCCAGAACGGTTTCCGCAAGACCACCAATAGGGCCCAGCAGTCCTTCGGGCAGCTCCCACACCTGGTCCGGTTCGACGTACTTTCCGGTCAATGCCCAGGCCGCATGCGTCATGTCCCAGAAGTAGACCGGGGAGTCGTTGGTGATGTTGAAGGCCTCGCCGTCGACGCGCTCGTGGTCCAGCGGTGCGCTCTGACCGGCGTCGTAGCGGTTCTTGGTGGCGCATAAGCGGTAGGCCGCCAACAGATGGGCGTATGCGATGTTACCAACGTAGGTAAAATCGAACAGGTTGTTGTTCTCGCCCAGCTGCATCTTCAGGACGAACGGCGACGCCTTGGACGAGTGTTCCAGGATCTTGTAGGTGAATGAGGTGTCTTTCTCTCCGTAGATACCAGCGGGACGGAGGGCGCAGGTCAACATGGACGAGGGAGATGTTTGGTTGTACTTGAGGACGAGTTCTTCTGCGTCCGCCTGCCAATTCATCAGTATCGAGCGTCAATCACACTATAGAATGCGAAAACAAACCTTAGTCTCCGAGTAATACTCCAACTGCTGCGGTCCCCTAACATAAGGCCACTTCTCATCCACATTAATCAAGTCACTCTGCGTATCATGCACCACTGAACTCGAACTCGTGTACACAAACGCCTTACACTTCCCACCCCACTCCCCATGCGCGCCGCCCGCAACTTCCACTAACGTCTTCGTCCCATCCACATTCACCTTCCGCAGCAACGGCTTGTTCCCTTCCAACATCGATGGCGAAGCGGTGTGGATGACCACGTCGGGCTTGACGGTACGGAATACCGACAGCATCGACTCGACGGAGGTGATGTCGCCATCGTAGTACTGCGCACCGGGGAGGCGGTTATTCGACGTTCGCAAATCCACCACGTGAACCTTTGCTATACATTGCGGATACCGGTCTTTGAGATTGGGGACGTCGAATTGTGCGTCGCCTTCGATCTTGGGGAGGGCGACGCTGGAGTCGGTCTCGGACGGGAAGTTGAGCAGGTGGTCAACAATGTGCCAGCCTAGAAACCCACAGCCTCCAACAACTAGGACATTGCCCAGGTCCATTGTAGGGCGCTTGTTCGACATTCTGATGTTGTATGAAAAGAAAAAGGTGCAAATTGACAGAAGTTGGGGGAAGTTGATGACGGGGCAACAACTTTAGGCGGAGATGAATTTACGGAGTCGGCCTGGGCATTGCCAAATCGGGGAAGGTAGAAAAGCTCCGACCCTTTTCAACTCTACGACAGACACAATTATTTATGTTCAACGATGAATTTCTTCACAAAGTACTGTCTAGTATTGCTAGCAGTATTATTCTGGGAACCCTAAAAGATACGCTTTACAACATGAGTTGGAACCATTCAGTTTCCTGTTCTTGCCCCTATAGATATGTGTATGGCAACTATGGTCTGGATGACAACAGACCGTAAAATGATTACTCATAGGCACATCTGGAATGATAGAAACATTAGTGTTCAGGTATCGTACAAATTGCAATCGAGCAACTCACTCCGCACTTCTCTCGACTGACCGGCGGAGCTGACGATTGTATTGTTTTCGATCGTCTGGAGAGCCCCAGAACAACTTGCTTGCTTCTGGGTGCACGTTTGTTCGCGGGTCATAAGGAGATTCTTCTTCGAGGGCTGCCACGATCGCGTCGACATGGCATCGCATGTCATCAGTGCGTGCAGGAAAATAGCATAGGATTCCACACTTGGCCACGCGATAATGGAACAGCGGCGACTCGACGAACACCCGCGGTTGATCCTCCGGGAAACTTGGGCTCAGGTGGATCTTGATATTGAAGATACCACCATCCAAGTGAGTCATGGGTCGACCAAAGTATGTCAGCTGCCAAAGGAAAGGATTGTCGTCAACCATATTGAAATCCACGGTAAAGTTTTTGTGCTTTTTGTATTTTTCAACGATCTGTTCATGCTGGCGCTTCAAGTTCGCAGCGATGCCGGCTTCTTGTTCCTGGGCAGCCTTCCCTTGTACAGCCCAATCATTAGTCTCAAAAATGATGGCATCTTTGACCTGGTTGAGCCGACTTCGCAGTTTAGGGTAATCAAAGTGTCCATCCATTGAATTTCCGGGATGTTCAAATGGCATCCTCGTGAATTTGTGCTTGCGCGTTACTTCGGATTCTCCTTGGGTGATGGACTGCATGTAACAATCATAATACCATAAGAACCTCCTTTTACGCAGGTCTGCAAAAACATCGGTGATACAGATACCTTCGTCGACGTCCTGATTCCCTTCTTGATCGGTAGGATTGGCCGTACTGTTCGCTTTAATACCAAGAAGGAACTCGAGAGGTTCGATGACGGAGATCCGGATACTTTCGTGGCGGATCTACATCGTAAAATGCGAAGAGGTCAGCACAAACCTTGTGTATAGTAGTATGAAAGGGTATTTTCACTTTAGCCGCATAGGCCGTCATGTCCTCTTTGTCTTGACGTGAAGCAGTCGATTCGTATCCAGGCTCGTTCTCATAAGGATTGGAGGACATCAAGCTCTGGATGGAGATGAGAATGGACTCTAATCCTTGTGCAGATGACCATTCCTCCCCACGATTACCGCGCCAGGTTCTGTACCATTTTATCAGCTGTGGTTCCACCGGAGCTTCAACGGTCGAGCTTACCCAAGAATCGATCTGACCAACGAGGTGTATATCAGTATGCGTATCAATAGCACCATCTATTACAAGACTCACAGGCAAACCTTGCCGCAAGCATAGATGTTGGGGTTGAAGCGACACTGTCCCTGGTTTGTCGTCAGAGCCTGGACAACGGGAGGGCCTGCTGGATAATCTGCAAGCGTTACGCATTAGCTGGGGCCTCTTTCACATCAACGTGCCTTGGAAGCTACCCGTGCCGAAAGTAATCGAGAACTATAGGGAAGGAATCTCGTGGTTAGCGCGCAGCTACTGATGCCTTGACGAACAGGACAGCCCACCTCGAAGAAGCCAAATTGGTATGGTGTTTCAGGGGGGCCCAAGATTAGAGCGCGAACCTTGCGCAAATCCTCATCGTCGCAAGATATTGCAAGAGCTGCTTAGGTTAGCAAGGCCCGGACCAGAAGAGCCACGCCCCCCCTTTGTCTGCGCTCACACAAATCCGTACAGCTCTGTAGCTGCTTGATCTCCTAGATTTAGTGTTAACCACGTCCTGTATGCTTCCCATAAAGGCGGCTCTTACTCTGGAAATGCGAAGAATCGACTGGTTGGCCATGGTTTGAGGATAGACAGTGACGGTACCGTGATCAGCTGTAAGACGTCGGTTGCGAGGCGTCGTCCATGGATTTATAGCACATTGGAGTAAATCGACCTGAAAACTGAAATGAATTGTCAGGGAGTCAGACAAACAGAAGGAACGAAAGCGTAAAGAGAGAAAAGGGAAGGAGAGCAACAAGAGGGTAAGAGGCTCCTCCACAAGTGACAGTGAATGAAGAACCATTGAACACCGGGTCTTTATTTTTGAATCTCTTTCTTTATTGCAGTAATCTTCAGGTCATTCAGGCCATTCAGGAGCATGACATGCATGATATTTGCCCAGTGATCCTATGGATACATCCAACCTACGCGCGGGACTCTGTTTGATTTGGCGCACAAGTTTACTTTTGCCAAGGCAGGTATTATAAGGTTGTGAGTAGGACAAGATCAGGGACATGCACTACCGCGTTTAGTATTCTATAGTGGTAGTAATAGCAATAGTACTCCGTAGTGAGTATCTGAAATGCTCCTCAAGGGCAGACTAATTGATCTCCAGGCGGTCGTCCGTCCAGTTCCATGTTTCGACGCCCACTGGTACTGCCGGCAAAACCCCGTTGAAACATAATCTTATTGTACCAGGGGTAAGCTGCGGTATTGTTTGTTGCTGTTTTCTTGATTCGTATCCCCCATATTCTCGAAAGTATATAATACATAATAATAAGAGAGAATAAGAGAGAGAGAGAGAGGGAAGTCCATCCCAAAGAAAGCATGCCTCGTATCAAATACAAACCCGACTGACGGGCGGTCAATCCTGCGGTGAGTCAACCACGTGACTGTCATGTGGGCAGATACAAGAAGATAATTTAAAACGATTAATCTAAGGAGACCAAGAGGGAATTAGGAGGGCCACAGATGGATTAACTGCTATTAATATATCTCTGTAGTAGTTTCTATATTGACACTTTGTGTTGATATACGGAGTAGTTAGGAGAGACACCTGTTGCCCATTGTAGTAGGACTCACTCGTAGTTGTGTACAGAGTAGATACTCTTCCTGCCCCCTCCACACTCCCTCTCTCTTTCCATCCTCATCTTCTCACCCTCATCGTTGCATTGCATTGCGTTCCATCCTCATCACTCCTGGAACTTCCGTCACACCTTCACGCACACACACATATATCCTATTCGCTTTTTTGTCCTTTTTTTTTTTTTTTTTTCCCTCTCCGTTTTAATTAAACCCGGTCTTCTTCGTCCCTGTCCCTGGTCCCTTTTTGACTTGTACACCCACACCACCCAATTCCCAACCTCCTCTTGCTCTACTACTTCACAGGGTGTTACTCGGGATACAATTCGAGGATCAGGAATGATTGTGTCTTTCTTGGACTGCGTGCTCTGCCGCTTGTTGGTCTCGCTCTGAGCTCCAACGCTTCTCCTGCTTCTTCCAAAGGAAACGACGCTACTGTTTTAAATTACTTTTTCCTCTCCCAACGTGCACAATCGCATCACGACGGGAACTACTGAATACTACTACTATTCCCGTCTGCTCTTTGATAGAACTGCTGTGGATAGTGAGTACCATCTCTCATCCCATTGTTGTTGTTGTTATTGTTATTGTTATTGTTATTGTTATTGTTGTTGTTTGCGCTGTCATTCCCGCTCCCCGAAGTTGACCTCCCTCTTCCACCGCCCCGCGAATTGATCGTGGACCTGCCGTGCGAATCAATAATCGCGCCCGACAATCCTCCCGACTCACTCCTGAGGAAAATCTCGATGAATTGATTCTGACCTTCATACTATCTTATCAGGTCTCGTTTGTCGTCCCTCCACTCGCAACGCTGTTGAACCTCGTCTCACCTCGCTCTTTCCTCAAACCCCCTCTCTCTCTCAACCCCCTAAACAAAGCGGTCCCAGCTCTTCTTGGCAGCGATCACCACGACCACGACCTTCTCTCGAATTTTCGGACAACAAAACCTCCCCGATCCGCCCATTGCTTTTTTCCGTTTTTGATCTGGATATTCTTTTCTCCCTGTTCGGGTCGTGGCATTGATTTTGGCTTGGGTTGGGCTTGATCCCATAAGGTTTCTTTTACGGATATGCCTCCCGGCGACGTTCCTCTACCGGACAGCCTCGTGCCGGGCAACGGGGCTGTCCGTCCTTCTTTGAATACCGGCGGTTATGGTGGCAGTTACCAATCGCAAACCCCGACTTCTCCGGCCGATAGCAGTATCCCCTTCGACTCTCCACGCAGACAAGGAGGAAGAAATGGTTCAGTCGCGGCTGGTTATGACACACAGAATCCGGATGGTCGCATGGGCCGCAGGTTAGACACGAATCTTTCCCCCATTGCAAGAGATCCATCGACTCCGCGCGATTCTCCCACGGCATATTGGGACAGACCGACTCCGCGTGACCGATCGCGTCCAGGTCCTCGATCGCACACCAAGTCTCCTGGGAGTTCCCCACGCGTGTGTAAGAAGTGCGGTGAACCCCTCGTCGGTCAATTCGTGCGAGCTTTGGGTGCAACTTTTCACCTGGAGTGTTTTCGGTGTGAGGTAAGTCGCGAAGAAGAGAAGTAGAAGATCATGTGATCGGTTCTGACGCTGACTCGGCTGTGGATGTAGGACTGTGGTCAAATTGTCGCGTCCAAGTTCTTTCCCGTCGACGGGGAAGACGGCAGTGGGCAGTACCCCCTTTGCGAGATCGACTATTTCCGACGTTTGAATCTGCTGTGTCACGAGTGCGGCGGTGCCCTGCGTGGCTCTTATATTACGGCCTTGGACCGTAAATACCACATTGAACATTTCACCTGCTCTGTGTGTCCGACGGTGTTTGGTGCACAAGACTCCTACTACGAGCATGAGGGCAAGGTCTACTGCCATTTCCATTACTCCACCCAATTCGCACAACGCTGTCATGGCTGTCACACTGCGATCCTAAAACAGTTTGTCGAAATCTTCCGCAATGGCCAGAACCAGCACTGGCATCCTGAGTGCTATATGATCCACAAGTTTTGGAATGTCCGCCTCGCCCCCACAGGTCAGCCTCTGGAGCCGCCTGAGAAGGACCTCGATGCCACCGATGAGGATCGAAACAGGGTCCGTGAGGAGGAAGACATCATGGAGGAGAAGGTCTATAAGATCTGGAGCATCCTTTCGAGTTTTGAAGAGTCTTCCGCGGCATGCATTTCGGACATGCTCCTGAATGTGAGCAACGGTGCATACACGGAAGGTGTTCTCATCGCCAAGCGATTTATCACCCATGTCCAAGTTCTTTTTGCTGCCATTGACCAATTGGCTGGGTATATCAAGTCCCAGGGCATAAAAGGTGAGTTCAATTTTTACATCAGTTCCAACTATGATTTTGTTCTTTTACTAAAACGCCAGTAGATCTCGCCTACGGACGCGAATCAAAACTTTTGTGCAAGAAGATCGTTGCTTTCTTTGCGCTCCTATCCAAGACGCAAGAAACCGGAGTACAGAAGCTGGGCGTTACTCAGGAGCTTTTATCGCTGGTCACCGGCCTTGCTCATTACCTCAAACTCCTTATTCGGATCGGTCTCCAAGGAGCCTTGAAGCTTGAAAGGGAAAAGAGGGCCGCCGATGGATTGCACCGCTTCTTGGACCATCTTGGAGACCTTGAAGCCCTCCGCCCGGCTACCGAGGAAGAATCCGCAGCAGAGTTGATGATCAGTGTTGATGGCCTTGCCAATCAACTTTCCGACTGTTGCGTCGCGTGCAGGGAACCGATCGACGACGAATGTGTCATGTCAGCCGACCAAAGGTGGCATGTCAAGCCGCCTCACCTCAGCTGCACAGCTTGCCAGCGCGACCTCCTTTCCAACCTACCGGATGCGGTGTACAATTCGAAGGATAAGCGGGCTTATTGCAAGAACTGCGCAGCGCAGAGAAGCATACCCTCCGAAGCTGGCCAGTTTGTTCGCGTCTCGAAATTGCAGCAATTTGTCTTCTTGCTCAGAGTCGCTCTTGCACGACTCCTTGCTGTATTGCGGGCAGGAGGAACTGTGCCCCCAGCCCCAGGTATGTCAATGATGCCACCCAACCCTACACGGATGGACCCCACTGACTTGGGAGTATTTCTAGGCGACGCCAATGCGCAGGAGCAAGGCCCGTCGGGTGACGTTCATCGGCCCAATCCCCGCAAGACTTATGCTAATGCTGCCAAAGAGGGCACGGAAGGGTCTTCGCTCGAGCAAACCGTGGGTGAAATGCGACGCCTGCGGTCGATTCGCAATGAGCGTACCTTGTCAACTACGTACAAAAAGGCCCGGGCGTCCCGGATTATCGACGGTCCCCAAGGGAGAAGTGCGCGGCCAGGCTCTTCCGGTGGTGAAGGCACAGATCCACGCGGCCACGGTTTCCAGATTGTAGAGGAAAAGGATGCCAACGGCGAAACAGTCACTGAGCTAACGTTCGGCAATCAGGATGCCCTGACGTTGGACGACATCCCGAGAATTGTCGCAGCCGAACACGCCAAGGAGCAACGTCCGAACGCTTATAGGCACGCTGGCACCAAGCTTGTCGGGAGCGGCGAACCGCTTCCCAGATACAAGCCAGGCCATCACCGCGCAGTATCTGGGGCAAACACCCTGGAACCACATCTTATGGGTAGCACTGGCAGAACAAAGAAGTACTTCTCTGAACTCTCCGCTCTGGAATATTTTATCGTCCGACATGTGGCCGTGCTATCCATGGAGCCGTTGTTGGATGGCTACTTTACCTTAGAGGAACTGCTCTCGCTGATCGAGTCTCGCAAACCAAGCATCTGGAATGTTTTTGGCCGTGCCTTCAACAAAGACCCCAAGAAGGGTGGTAAGAAGAAGGGCGTGTTCGGTGTGGCCCTGGATGTTCTTGTCGACAAGGAAGGTACGGAGTCGAGTCATGGCGTTGGGCCCGGTGCTCTTCGTATTCCAACATTAATCGACGATGCTGTGTCGGCCATGCGGCAGATGGACATGTCTGTCGAAGGAGTGTTCCGAAAGAACGGTAATATCAGACGTCTCAAAGAGCTCACTGATCTTATCGACAATCGATATGAGCAAGTCGACTTGACCAAGGACAGTCCCGTTCAAATTGCCGCACTCCTGAAGAAATTCCTTCGAGAGATGCCTGACCCGCTTTTGACCTTTAAGCTCCATCGCCTTTTCGTTGTATCTCAAAGTAAGTCGCATTCCACCGTTTGATTTGATACTGTCCGGAAACTAACCACAAAAAAAAAAACCAGAAATCGCCGACCCAGAGAAGCAGAAACGGGTATTGCATCTTACCTGCTGTCTCTTGCCCAAGGCTCATCGGGACACCATGGAGGTTCTCTTTGCTTTCCTCAACTGGACATCATCGTTTTCCCATGTGGATGAAGAGTCTGGAAGCAAGATGGATATTCATAATCTGGCAACTGTCATGACCCCTAATATTCTGTACCCCAATGCTAAAAATAGTACGGTGGATGAGAGTTTCCTTTCGATTGAAGCTGTGAATGCGCTTATTGCATACAATGACAACATGTCCGAAGTAAGTTTCCTGTTGTTACCGTCTGATCGCCGCAACCGCTCACCTGAGTTTCTTCTCTTGTAGATTCCCGAAGACCTGCAGGGGGTCCTCAACGATACAAGCTTCTTCAAAGAAGAAGTCACCACGAAGGAAATTCTTAAGCGATATGGAGACATTGCCCGTGGAAGTTTCTCGCAGAAGACCAACAACGGTGGTGAGACTTTTACGATCACCAATTCCAACCGCAATGCAAATGCCCCGACATCCGCGCGTATTGAAACGGATCCATCACAGGATGCCGCATGGCAGATGCAGAGCTCAGTTCGGCACGTTCAAAGCCCAGTGGCAGGTCAATCCCACAATGCTAGCGCTGCACCTCCGGAATTTGTGGCCCCGCAACCTAAGCGAGAGCGCAGTGTCAGCAATGGCAGCCATTCGAATTCCATTCAATCCGAAGGAGGAGCTCAGCAGATGCCGTACAGATCACGTCAGGGAGCAGGTCCTATGGGTGTTGCCGGCTAACCGGTAGCTCCAGACTTTTTGTCTTTTTTTGTTTTTTGAGCGATATATGCATTATCCTAATTTCTTGCAAAGTTAAGTTTCTTTCCTTTTTCGTCGATGGACTTTCTTTTTTGCATTCGTTTTGAAGCTCGGTTTTAATACGACCGGCATAAAGTTGGGCTTGTCAAGCGTTTTCATCATTTCTGTTTCTCCACCGTCAGGAATGGGTGGATGGAGTTGACTTTTCTTGCTTCGCATTGACATGAGTTTCGAGTGTTTCCTTACAGTGACTGGCATTGCCGGTTATTTACCATGACGGATGGACGACATCTTGCTTACTCTTTTTTATTATCTCCCTTTTTTTCTCTGCTTTTCTTCGGCCTTGACCCACTGTTTATAAAAGTGTACGGAGTAGTTATATTTTGATCACGATGCGACGGTGTTGCTTGGCCCTTGGATCCTGATTCCATCTATTTTGTCCGGCCAACTGATTGGTTATGCATGTTTGAAGCTTGGATGCTATATCTTTTCTCTTTGCCTATTCCCCTTTGCTCTTCTCTGCGTCCAGCTCATTGAGTTGTGGCGAGCATGGCTGCAAATCGCGAAGATACCTTGTGTGCCGAGTCTGATGTTGTTTCTTTCTGATTTTTGTTTTAATTGTCTTCACTCTTTTTTCTCTTTATCTTTCTCGTACAGCTCTTTTTCGTGCTGATATCCCAAAGTTGCCTGTTTACCTTTTTATTTTATTTATTTTTTTTTTTTTTTACTCGATTGCATTCTCATATACATTGATTGAGTCCGCGGTTTCGCTTTTTTCTTATTTGGCACGTTGGTGTAGTGCCAGTGGATAAAAGGTGGTGTAATTTACATAGATACTACTACTGTTGTGAATGGGGATGTATAATTTGCTAAGACTTTATCCTTTAACTACATGGTAAGACTAGGACACGGGGTTCCCCGACAGGTTACGGGTACGTAGTAAAGGGTTTGGTTTTGATTGAAGCTTCAACATCGAACTACCAACGGGGCGTTCTGAAGGATCCCAAAGAAAAATCAATAGATGGACTGAAAGAAATGCAATATTCTCGATGTTCAAGCAGTGCAAAAAGCCAACCCAAACCAAGGTCGATCTGCAATAGAATACAACAAGACGAGTATCAATGCAAAATGAAATCGAATGATAGCGCAAAAATGGACAAAACCCAGACAATATAAATATGTTGTTATAACTCCCTCGAACCAAATGATTATTTTGCTGTCGACCCCCTTTACGCCATTGATCCGGTCCCAATCCCAAGTACACCGGAGAACTCCAGAAGGTAAAAAATAACACGCCAATGAAATGAGATCTCATGATCCGACTTATAACCGCTTGCGCAGGGCCCTGCGTCCTGCGGCCTGCGCTTCGCTGGCTGGGGTGGGTGCTCTCTTTCCTGCGGTTGCAGTAGCGGTGTTAGTCTTCTTGGTAGTGGATGAAGGCACTTGATTTCGTGCTGTTGCTGTTTTCTTGGCTCCGGTGGTGGTTGTAGACGATGTATTTGTGGCCTTACGGGCGCCTGTGCCGGTTTTGGTTGGTTTGACAATCGTTGTCCCAGACGACGCATTGGAGGAGGCGCTGTTCCTTCGTTCACGTTGGCGGGTTGCTGGTCGTGGAAGTGGAGAACGAATTCCTTTGGTACCTGGCGCGACTTTGCTGGCTGGTCGCGCTGTCTGCGAGGTGAGTCTGCCATCCTTCGTGGCGGTTGCGCCGTTTGCTCCGGACAAACTAGCCGCGGCTCTGAGCGGGCTGGACCGTTTCAGAGGTGACATGGGCTTTGACATATAACCGGGTTGTTGCGATTTCTCGGGAGAGGCCCGGAATGGAGACTGGGGGTAGGTTCGGGAGTTCAAGGATTTCGGAGACAAGATTCTGTAGTCGGCGCCCCTGACTTCCTGGGAGACCACGCGCGAAGGACCACCTGCAGCAGCGGGCTTGCCGCGTTTCTTAGGGTTGTTTAGAACATCAAGCGATTCTCCTGTAGGTGCGTTTTCCTTATCGAAGTACGGGCCTTCGGGACTAGTGATTGTCAGAGGAATCAATTGACCAGTATAATATGAGGGAGGCTTACCTCAGTTTCCTGACCCGACGGGCACTTGCTCCAGCGGTCGTGTTGGTGATATTTCTCTTGGCTGGGCTCGTCACTTTTCTCGGGGAGTGGTGTGCGCGGAGCGAGGCATTATGCTTCTCTAATAAATCACCCATTTTTGCCTTGCGCAGGGCCACTGGAATACGGTTCACGCGTCGTTCAATCCGTGCCCGAAGATCATGGGTTTGCAGGGCATACTGGGCGCGAAGTTTGCGGGCTCGTTCGGTGACTGTTCAATTGTTAGTGTGCGGAACAGGAGACAGTCGTTTTTTGGGGGGAACCGTACTTTCGAGTTGTAGGTTATCAATAAGAGCTTGCTTTTGCTTGCGCGTAAATCGCATCTTCTTTCTGGACGGACTGCCTGTGGGCGTTTGCATTCCATCGTTGGGATACGCGTCGTCCGTCTCGGAGGACTTGCGCTTTAGTGTTGAGGAAGCCATGAAAATTAGGGCAGTGGGGGATAATCCGTGTAGAATTAGTCAGAATATATTCAAAATGGAGCGGAATAGTTCGTGTGGTGTCGAGTAGGGTGGTGTTGGCGAGACAGAGGGGAGAGACGGTGGTGACGATGGGGGAATAAACAAGCGCTGACTTAATCCTTGGCTTGGCGATCGGCCGCGGCAAGTGACAGCAACCACAGCTCTAATCCACCACCGCCATCGCCTCACCTCCTTCGTCATTGCTCTCTTCATCAACGCTTCAGTACTTTCAGTTTTTGTCCTCACTCATTGCTAGATACAATACTTGTCGCCTTCCTGATCCCGGAGAAATCCCCGCCAAGATGTCGCTCGAAGCAACCATGGTCATGTTCGTCTACCGGAACCCACCTCCAGCTTGGTACACTCAGCTAACAGTATCTTACAGTGTCGACAACAGTGAAAGCAGCAGAAACGGAGATTATACGTGGGTGTTGATTCAATCCCGACCCGACTGACTCCCCTAACTAACGACATCAGCTCGACACGATGGCAAGCACAGGTCGACGCCGTTAGCGTCATTCACAGTGCTAAAATGCGCGCACACCCCCAGTCGGCCGTCGGTCTTATGAGCATGGGCGGAAAAGGTCCTGAGGTTCTGTCGACATTCACATCGGAGTTTGGCGGTATTCTGTCGGGTCTGCACCGTACAAAAATCCACGGTACTCCTCATCTGAGCTCGAGCATACAAGTGGCCGCCGTATGTGCACTCCCCTATCTATTTGTTTTGAGGATGGTTGCTGACGGATGACGTGTTGTCATAGCTTGCTCTGAAACACCGTTCCGAAAAGTCCCAGAGACAACGCATCGTCGTATTCTCCTGCTCCCCGATCGAAGAAGACGAGAAGACGCTAGTCAAGTTGGCCAAGAAGATGAAGAAGATTAACGTGTCGATTGACGTGATTGCCTTTGGAGATCTGGAATCCGACCAAACAAAGAAGCTGGAAGCATTCGTGGAGAATGTCAAGGGAGGTGACGGCTCCAACCTGGCAATTATCCCTCCTGGCCCGAACCTTTTGAGTGAGGAGCTCCAGGTTAGTCCCATTTTGGGAGGTGATGGCTCCGGTGCCGGCGCAGAGGAGGGTGGTGAGGGTGGCTTTGGATTCGAAGATGCCGCCGAGAATGACCCCGAGTTGGCGTTTGCCCTACGGTTATCGCTCGAGGAGGAGAAGAACAGGCAGGAGAAGGAGAAACAGGAGCGTGAGCAACAAGAAGGCAAGGCCAACTTGGACAACATTCCTGAGGAGGGGTCAAGCGGAGACAAGAAGGACGGTGGGGACAAGATGGATACTGCGTAAAGAGACCGAGGGTAATTTTTCTTTTTTGTGTATCTTTGAGGATGATTTGATGCATACCCGGCGTTTTTATACGTTTTCTCTCTAACTCTTTGGTACACATGTAATATCTAAAGGCGCCCAGCGCTTTTCCGATGAGATTCTATTACCACGTAATGCCAGAAACCGGATTCCTAATATGAACAGAACGATCAAATCCTCCCCCTCAACCAACTCCCCAAATGCCGATCAAACGACTCACACCTCACCGGCATCTCCAACTGATAAAATGGATTCTTCATGACAAAATCCGCATACAACTCGTAAATCTTCTTCATAACCACATCTATATTCGCCATAAACGGATCCGTAAACAACAAGAACTTAGTCCCCGTTTGCGTCTGGAAACACGTGAGCCGGAACTTGTCCGTCTCGAGGAACTCCAGCCCGGATGCGGGCACGGAGGGGTTCGGGAAGGAGTAGGTGGAGGACGGCGTATTGGCGGTTGGGTTGTTGGATGCTGTTGGTGTTGGTGTTGTCGGGGTTGTTGTGCTGGAGGGGGAGGTTACGGAGAGGGAGGCTGTTGCTGAGTGTGATGCTGTTGTTGGATTTGTTGCTGTGGAGGCGAGGGGAAGACGGGGGGTTATGGAGCGGGTGATTGCGTGAACGCTGTTTGATTGTATCTATTAGCCTTGATGTACTTGGTACAGTGACTGGGGAGAGGTACCCGTGAAACGTCCCCGCGAGAACGAGATAGTCGTTTGTGGATAACTTGTGCAGACCGGAGTGGAATTCGCGCTGGTAGACCAGGCCTCCGGCCTTGTTGATTATTATGAGGGAGTAGACGGTCCTGATTTTGTTAGTGTTTGCGCGCAGATTGGTTGAGCGATTGGAGACGAGACGTACATGATGTGTATAGGTGGTGAGATCGCAACGATGAGGAAAGGATGGCGATTGACGATTGACAGAGGTGTGGTGTGAATTATTGATTACTTCGTATCGTCGCATTCATTAAAAAATGTACCGGGTGTTAGCAGAACTGGTCGAGTAGAATACAAAGTCTCCTGCATGAATGGATGTCATCTCCTAGTCGCTATTTTGGATTGCGGAGCGGAGATGCTGTCGTTATTCCACACCCGCCAAGGCCAGATTGGGTGGTGTTTATTGGTCTTTACCTGTGTTTTCGATAACGAAGAAATGTTGATATTGATTTACATTATAACTAAACGAGGTATTCAGAGTAACTCTTAAAATCTGCTCGGTTCTTTATTCAATGACACCTGTGAAATCCTCGCATGATCTTCACATACCGGCATTCATTGGAGGAGAGTTCTTCATAGTATCATTCTGTCCCTTCTGTACCTCCAGGTCCTTGTATTCGTCCTGTGAAAGCTCAGGAAGCTGTACATGAAGGTCCTGGAGTCCTTGGTTTCATGCCTCTGCCCCATTTGCCTCCAGCATGGCCTTATCCACCTCCGAATTGGCCTTACCCAGATTCGATTTCGTCCTATCAGCTCCGGTCCTTGACCTTTCGATTCGAGATCGTGCCCTTCTCTGCTCTTTGTTGTGACTTACGGGTGACAAGGTCACCGAGAAAGAATGTATGGCAGTTTATATGCCATCGAGCCTGTCGATATGACTACAAAATCATTGAGAAATTCCCACTCCGTACAGCTATAGGCAATCCAGAAAAACAACTCAAAGGGGCTTCAATAATTTCCTCACTCTGGTGCTTGACTGAAAGTACGACTTTGTATGTCAAAAATCACGCATTGAATGGTTTTCTTTAGACCCCTAAATGCCGCTCGATTATTGTTTAGTTTCCTCTGTACTGTGCGCAAAATCTCTCTGCTCAAATTCGTGTCATTTGCAAAATCTCACTTGATATAAAATACTGCCTTCAAGCTTTCATATCATGCCGTACTGGGTATCGGGCATGTTGCCTGTTCAAAGTCATCCTGGCGTGAATCCATTACTGGCCCATCGTCACTCCATGCTGCTCTGTGGCCCAATGGAAATGGCCCAGCTTGTGCATATACCGATCCCTCCTTCCAATGAATTGCCTCAACCGGCCCTTCTTAGACAGTACTACTCTACCACCGGAGTAGATGATCGTGCTTTGGGTTTGATGAATTATATTGTTTGCTTCAAGGGTAGACCCTAGTACCAACTTTGCACTTCGTTTCTTTCGGAAAGGAATCGCTGGGTAACGATTTGATGCTGATATTGATTACGGTAAAATAAGTGGAATTGACAGATCCAGTCGTCGATGCTTCTGTGAGCTCATAATCGAAGTGACATATTTCCATGTGGACATGGTTGTTCCATAATAACCGACCAGAGTTCTACAAGGACTCTCTGACCACTATACAGATTTATGGCTATTGTAATCGAAATTGAAGAGACGTTTTCCGACATAATATGGGAGTTTTCGGGGCCGCTTGACAAAATTATACTCATACCGCATGGCAGCGCGCGAGGTTGATATAGTAGACCTTTAACCTTTCCTAGAAATTAACCCACACGTATTAAAACTTATCGTTAGTATAATAGAGTTATGGACTGAGGCCGTTTGGGAGCTGACTTCTTCCTCATGCCGGAGTAGGCGATTTGAATACTGTATGTGCATTACGTGGAGTATCTGCCGCTTGTAGAGGGGTATTAGGCGTAAATATAGTGTATTATATACAGCATGATCCAATGAGTCAAGGAAAGTATTTGGGGAATCAGCATTCTGGCGACTCCCGGATTCCTATATAGATGTAGTGGAACAGTCAAAGTGAAGAGGGGAGGTGGGACGGAGAAAAAAAAAAATGGAAAGTTCTAGGATGGTCTACTGGTGAATAAAATAGTATGCTCTTTATTATGTTGGGATCTCATTGTTTGTACGTCCGTTTGTAGTGCTGGCTATTAATAGTAAGCTCTCAATGGCATGATTAAGTCTATTGGTCATGATGATATACTAAAACACAGGTATCACAAGCTAAGTGAAACGTTATAACAAAAACAAAAAGAAAGGGCATAAAGGCAACAAAGCAATAAGAACACATTACACACGAGCCAAAACCAACTCATCACGATCCCACCGAATGATTCCCTCTTGGATCGCCCAATCCCTCAAATAAATATCCTCAGTTTCCACCTCCGGGAGTTTTTCATCCCGTTCGAAATGCTTCCCCACATGTTCCATGCGTTCTTCCCAGCTACTTTCCCCCTTAAACTCCCAGTTACAGAAGCCGCACAGACTATGCTGCGGTGGCTCGCGCTGCTGGTGCCAGCAGCGCTGCGAGACAATGGCCTCTTCCTCTTTGGTTGAGGGATCATGCCTGCTGACAGATTGTGATATGTGCATGCGGCGGAGGTGCTGGACGAAAAGATCTTTGCGATTGAAGTCTTTCCCTTTTTGTTGACTGGGAGTTGTGCGGTGATTGGGGCGGGTTCGTTTGGGGAGGTCGAGGGAGGAAGACCTTCGGTGGAGGTTGCAGTTGCCGATGTCGCAGCGGTAGGTGCCTAGTTGGAGGTGTTGGGAGGTGATGTGTCGTTTCCATTCGTTCTTGGAGCTGAAGGTGCTGGTGCATCCGTAACGGGCGAAGCTGCAGATGAATTGTCGTCCGCCGGCGACGATCATTTTATCTGGCTTAACGGATGCCGTTGAGGATTTTCGGCGGGGAGGTGGTTTTATAGAGAGCGAGCGGGTGTTGGTGCGTGACTTACGAATGCCGTGCATCGACGCTCTGCTACTCGTAGACCTGCGGGGGGTCTTGGGTCGGCCACTTGCGATGATCTCGTGTACTGTTGGTATCTTTTCCAAGACCGATGGATCCTGCTGGGACGGTTCGCCGTGTTTTGTGCCATCACCCCAGAGGTTTTTGTCGTCCACAGAGAAAATAATTTCATTCTCCATGGCCAGGTCGTGTGGGGAGTTATCCGGCTCTATCTGCAAGACATTCGGCGGGGCGGACGTCAAATCCGGTGGAGAAGGGTAATAGTTCTCAAGAGGGAACATGGAATCGTCGGGAGAGTAGAGTAGCGGAAAATGGCAACCTATATCACCAAGGTTACTACTACGGGGACTTTCCAACCCCGATGATGACGACGGATGACCGGTGCATGGCGGTGGCGACATGAATCGATCCGAATGTGAGTAGGCGATGCTATTGACACCCGTCGGGAAGTTCATTGCGTAGTCCGCAGAGAGACAACCGGCATTGTAGACCGAGAAGGGCTCGTTGGCGTGGATATTGGGCGGGCATGGGATATAGTGACCCTTAGCATGGTCCTCAATCCAGGACAAATGCTGGCGCATATGAGATGTCCGGTCTCTAGTATAGGGATGCATGTGGGACGGGAAGGATTCGCCATCCGTCAAAGACAGGTCTTCCGGCGTGATAACGGCCGGCGGGTCGAGGAAGTTTAGGTTGGACTCCATAATGTCGGAAAAGCAACTCGCGTGTTATGACTCGAACAAAGAGAGTGTACTTGAATTGTTAACTAGAAAAGAGACGGTTGTAGTGATCATGAAGAAAAATAAAATAAAATAAAAACCGAAAGAACTGAAGAAATGGAATTCTGCAGTAAGGAATCAAGAGACAAAAGAAGAAGCCCTTTAATATCCCCGGCAGATCTCCCAGACGGATATTCATCATCAATCTGGGTCGTCATCACCCACTACCCTTTGCCATGATCACCCTTACCCGTTTTCCCTGTTGAGTCTTATCAACCCAAGGAGGGGGAACGGGATACGAGGCGGGTGCTCCGTACAGCAGGCAGGAACAGCAGCAAGAGCCGCACCTTTGGCATCGGAAATTTCCGTGACGCAGGGCGAAGAAAAGACCCAGATTGCCCATCCTCTCTCTAGAAGGATCGGCAGATCCAAACACCTTTCGTTGGCTGATTCATTGCTTTTTGGTCTGCCTGGAGACGGCCAGTCCGTAAGACGGCGCGGTATTAGCGTCGTCTGGGGCTCTGCTTTGGGAGGGTGCTCGGGCGCTTGCCCGAGTGCTGGGACTCCATTGTCGATCCTCTCGTGTTGTGTTGAGATGGTGGTTGTTGTCGGTTGTTGTCTCTGCACCACTGAGATAACCCGTGATGAACAGGTTACAGGTCGGGTGGCATCGTTCTAGAGGTGCGGTGCCGCGCTAGTAAGTCACATGACTCATTTAGCGGCTTCCGGCACTTACAATACCATGTTTTAATTACCCGGCATCTGAGTTTTACAGATTCCTGACCATTAGATATCATTATCTATTTGCTGTAGTTTTGCTCGCCGTTCCATAAGTTCCAACTCTTTTTCTTCATTTAGAAGTTGTTTTGCCTGGTTTTGGAGCTGTTTCTCTCGTATTTCTTCCTCTTTATCCTTCAATTGAAGCTCAAACTCACGGAGCTCTAAAGCTTGCCGTTGTTGCTCAATATTCAATATATTCTGCGAGGAGATCCGACGAAGGCTTTGTGAAGTGGATGAGGCAGAACTAGTTTGTAACTGGTTAGTAACTGGTTATCGATTGATTAGAAAATGCGTACCCTGAAACCCGTGATTGGGATCGAAATCTTTGAGGTTGTGGTTCTTGTTGAGAGTCCATTGATAAATGAGCTGAGGATGAGCGACGACGCTTTTGAGATTCTAGGCAATTTCCAAGTCATTAGCAAAGATTGCCATCATAAATGGTGGATATATATATATATTACCTTCCCGTGCCATGTGTCGTAAATAATTAACTTCCATATTTGCTGTTCGATATGAATGGTGAATCCCAAAGCGAGTCCGATTTATATATTGAAGAACATCATGTTTATCAAGTTTTGCAGAACTAGAAATCATTAGCAACCACTCAAGATGTAGTCTTCAACTGGTTGTAAACTAGTTCTCAACTACTTACTTTTGGATTGCTGCTACTAATGTCAATCGCTTTCCTGCTGCATTAGCCTTGTGATGAGATTGTTCAGCTGAATTAGTATGATTCCGAATTGAATCATAGATAGAGGCAGGAATATTAGAGCAGCTTTTATTAAGGCCAGCTTTAATAATTGGTTGCCTCTTATGCTCTGCCCAAGCCTGTACCTTTGGCTCTTCATGAACTAAGGCAGTTAGTGACTGGTTGTTAACTGGTTTGAAACCAGTTGGGGAATACTTACTGATCAATAAATCACACAACTGATCATAATCATCTTCAGACTTGCAGTCAATCAGAGCTGCCATTCGATTCCATATTCCTGACCCTCTATTATTATTCCCCACTGCTTCAGTGATAGTTCGAAAAAAATGAACACGGCAAAAAATAATTATTCCCTTTAATTGCCAGAGTATCGGTCGGCGGAGAGGATCAATTTCTTGAAGGAAGCGCCCAAGGCCTACGCAGTTAGTGAGTACTTTGCAAATGCTTTGTAACTAGTTACCTAGTTACTTACCAGTATACTGTTTAGTATCCATGTCCACAACAATACCATATATTCCAGTGGAATGTATAGAACTAAACTTAATAGCATCTCCAGTGACCTTTTGAATAAGAGAGAATACTCTCTTAAACAGGAGATAATAGCCCTCAGTTGTTTCCTGATTTGTGAAAACTCGGAAAAGGGTGATGACTATTACAACTAGTAAGTAACTAGTTAGCTAGTAATTGATTATTGGATACCTACTTTTTCCATGTTCATGAAGATAAGTTGCAAATACAACTTCATTTATCTCTTTTTCTCGAATTCGTTTGTATGACATGTCAACTTCAAAAGAAGATAATTGACTCAAGAGCTGGATTTGCTCTTTAAAAGCACACAGAATCATTATACCCTCACTATCAAAATACTTCTCTTGAATGTATTCCTATAATGAGTTAGTAACTAGTTTACAACTGGTTCGCAAGCACTTACCCTGATAAATGGATTTGTATTATATATATACAAGACCCCATTGTAGCCCTGACCAGCTGGGTATGACAGCAGTCGTTGTTTCTGTATGATAGCAGAGATGCGATCTAGATTTGAAAAAGATGTGTGTATTTCCGCAGGTGTAGAGGCATTATACTGAGAACAAAAAGCCTCTAGTTCTGGACTTCGCAGAAATTGAGCTATTAACTGGTTAGTAACCAGTTTAATGGTGGTTAAGAATCATTTAACATATACCTCGAGTTAGGCTTGGGTTTCTCATCTGCCTAATTATGTTCTGAACCCCTCTTAGAATAAGCTCTGGTGGCTTATGTGGAGGAGGAGGAGGATGTTTATGGATTCCCTGAGATGTGAAGACAACATAAGGACAATCTTGAGGATCAACTGGTACCAGTGCAGTAAAAGTGACATCACATTTGAGATGTTCTAATCTGCCAGGTCCTTGAATATGGTCAAAATCTAAGTATTTCATAAGTACTACGCAAGCAGTTTCCAAACAGTTAAAAGACCACATACCACAATACTTTCGACGAGATGTTAGTGGCTCAATAACAGCGCACTCTTCCTGAGATGGCAGGATCGAATCATTGAACAACTGCTCTAGGAAGTCAATATCAATTGAAGTATGGCCTTTAACCGAGCTGTAATGATGTTTTTGAAGAAAGTCTGCTGTTCCATGTACACATCCAATATATGGATGGTATTCATTGTTCACGTTCTATATAACTAGTCAGAAACCAATGCTGAACTAATCATGAAGTAGTAATTATCCTTACAGGATAAAAGTGCCTTCTAAATCTTGGTGCACAGGTTGGGAGTTGCTCAAGACATGCATGGCCTTTTTGAAAGAATGTCTTCTTTGACCGATAAAGACTAGAATAAAATCATAATTAGTTAGCAATCAGTTACGTACTAGTTATAAGGCAGTTGAAACATAGCCACCTATATGCATTTCGCTTTCGGATGTCCCTTTCAATCAAATCAATATTCTTTCGAATACTCTGGATTTCCTCCCATGCAGTCTCATCAAGGTAAGTGTGATATAGTGTACGAAGACTTGGCTTTAAATATTCACATATCAAAGCCCCAGAACATTTCCACATCCATTTCTTCACTGAACAGTTTAGAAATGATGACTTGACACTTGCTCTGGCACCACGGATACTTGCGCGGGAGTATTGTATCTTTCAACTAGTTAATAACTAGTTGCCGACTACTTGTTAACCAGTTATAAATGAGTACAAGTACATACATCTTGTATTAGATGTTCTGCTTCTTGTAATCGGCCAACAACAGATACAATATAGGTATACCCATGTATATGTGTTCTTGGGTACTCTGGCAGATCATCTGTATACTCAATAAACAGTGTTTGAAGTGGATTTGATTTTGCATCTGTTAAGTGAGTGAAAGCACTTGGTTGCTAAATAATTTGCAAGTAGTTAGTAAGTACTTGGAAATTAGGATTATTTTGGTAACCGGATTTCTCACCTCTTCAGCAGCATCATCAATATTTGAAATTATGTCCTTGTGACAGCCTGGTCACGTTGGCTGGTTATCACATGAGATGCAGTTGTTTGCTTTGTTGATAAATACGGCGTCACCCCCTTTCTTCCTTCCTCATGTTGATTATTCTCGTCGATAGCTACCTAGGTAGAACCCATGAGTTGGATCTTCGATTATCCTAGTAGAGCGCCGTGACAGTCCTCTTCCTCGCCAGAACTTCTCGAAGAATCTTCTGGATCCATATTGACAGTTGTAAGCAGTTAATAACTGAGTGGTAACTAGTGAAAAGTAGTCTGGGCTTTTTTAAGCTAGAAGAATGAAATATTTACAGAAGGAAATTTAGGATTGAATTTCACTGTTCGTACAATGGTATTTAAAAGGTCAGGTGCCGCGCCGCTTATGCCAAGACTGGTGGGGCCGGCTTCCGGCTTCTCTGAACCGGCACATGACCTGTGTACTCTATGCCAAGACTGGTGGGGCCGGCTTCCGGCTTCTCTGAACCGGCACATGACCTGTGTACTCCGTGATGAAAACTAGTGGGAAATACTGCCGTGCTGATTAATGCCACTCACCGCCCTGCAAGCACCACAACAAGGCATCTCGGACATTTTTGCCAATTGCCCGGTGCCCGACATGCAACAATTTCTTCATATCAAACCCTCCATCTTAAGTCATGGATACCATCCCAGGATCATCGCTATCCCCAGCTGTCAGGCTTCTTCTTGACTCATTACAGGAACAGACACTAAGGAACCGAACTCCTTGACCTCGTGGTATCCTGCACGGCCAACTCCATATGGCAAGTTCCTCGATCATCGCAATATAATTAGATGGCCAAAAATAAATGATCAATCAAATCCCGGGCAATAAAAAAAGACCAAAGAAATGAAAGGGAAGAAAGAAGGTATTCTGGTTGCCTCGCTAGGTCGCCTATTCTCTGATCAGGCCGATCACCGGCTTCGCGCGTTTTAGATCGCATTAGCCGCATGGCTTCGCCTCTTTTTGTGCCACTCTGGCTTGTTTCTGTTATTATTTTTTATGCATGGCACTGCGCCGCTGTGCAGCAACTAGGCATACGGAGTGCACCTACGGAGCACGCCTACGGAAAACGCTGGTCCAAGTCTTACAGAGCAGAGCGTAGAGCATTCTATACGACTGTGTTAGCCATGCTGCATGCGCTCGCAGCGGGCCGTCTCTTTATTCTTTCCTCTTTCGTGCTGCACAATGCAGAAATGCCGCGTCATTGGTTCCTGCAGGTCACACGGACATGCCGGATGAAGAAAAAGACTCGTGTTTTTTATTAAAATTATGTATATCTGTATATTTATGCATCGTCCAACCGTGGTCACATGTGCATGCACATAACTGCATCTTATCTGGGAAAACCAATGTGGAGATCTCTCTCCAACAGGCTGTTGACGTTTCATACCACGTCTCCGCTCATTCGGTTTTTGTTTTTCGTGTCCGCTTCTTTGGGACCCGGACCAACCAGTACAGGAATACCGCGGCCACGGCGTTGAACCCAATATACGCAAACAGCAGTCCAATATTGCGCCAGCGGTCAGAATAGTAGATGCTCACCCCTGCCAAGAACTGATCCGTTTGGGACAGCGAGCATACTTGACAGTCTGACCGTGCCTCCGGATTGATCAGCTTTCCCATGGCTTGCTCGACGTACGGCCCGAGATAGCTCGAGCAATTCTGGCCGTCCGGTGGGGGGATGTGCAGCAATTCGATTGACGAACACTCTACGTCGTTTCTGGCCAGACCGGTCGAAAGCACCGCTGATATCAGGTACGTGAATGGTGAAACACGATACATGAAGATCCAAAACCCGGGCAAAGCTTCTGGGGTCGCAAGCACCCTAAAAAAAAAAAAAAAAGAGAGACAGAGAGTTAGTCCCAACTTACGGCCAGCAAAATGCACGTGGAGGGGGGAAAATGTGACGTACCCGTTGAAGATGAGACACATGGAGAATAAAAGCTGCGCAATGTTACTTCCCGTATCAGGATTCTCAATTCCGGCAATAACCATTGACCCGAACGTCGAAGCAAACATCAGGAAGATCAAGATCAGCAGGAACATTGTGCCCCCCCGCTCAATTACCGAGTTTGTGGGAGACGCATTCCGGTACAAACCGATGGGATAGTACCAGCAGAAAAATACCGGCGCTGCCATTAGTGTATTCCATGAGAGCTCAACGACAATGCTTGCCAGCATGAATGCTTTCCATGAGTACGCCTTGGACGGTCGCTCACGCACTTCATACAAGGCCCGCTGCATCGTAAAGTACGGCATCATTTGCTGAACCAGGTTCGGCATGATCACCAAAAGCATGAAAATGGCAAACATTTGGTTCTGTAGACCTTGCATACTCGTGGGCTCACGCCAAAACGTAAACCCAATGAATAAAGGCTATTGAGCGGTCAGTCAACGGTTAGTCACAGTGAGGATGCAGAATGTTATCCTTACCGGGATAACGCACATGGCAGCTTTTGAGTAAATGTACGTCGGGCTGCGCCAGTACTGTTGAAACATGCGTTGAATGCAAACGAGAAACTGCGCCCAGAAAGGCATCGCGAACTCTCCATATTCCTTTGCTCGAGGGTTAACTGATCGCTGTGATAGCTCCTCCTTCATGAATTCCAGTTCCTCTAGCACCAGTTCACGTTCTGGACTCGACTTCCATACTTCCGGCCAGTCCTTCTCTGCATGGGAGCCTGGAGCTGCTCCGATGACCTCCAACATCCACTCAGCCGGATTTGCGTTCTTGGGACAACGGGAAGACCCGTTTTTTTCGAAGTACTGGATCAAGGTCTCCATGTTGGGGCCCAGGTCTCCGAAATAGACCGTCTTTCCTCCGCGAGCTAGGAAAAGGAGTCGATCGAATTGTTGCATTAACATGGCGGAGGGCTGATGAATCGTGCACAAGATCGCCTGTCCATGGTCTGCTAACTTGCGCATTAGCGTGCATATGGACCATGCTGTTTGACTATCGAGGCCCGAAGTAGGTTCGTCGAAAAAGAGTAGCAGGTCTGGTTTGGCGGCGATCTCAACACCAATCGTCAACCGCTTCCGTTGCTCGACGTTCAAACCCTCGCCCAGGACACCGACAACCGCGTCCGCGTACTCCTCCATGCCGAGCATCTTGATCACCTGTTCCACATACTCCATCTTCTCCCTCAACGGTGTGGTTGCCGGTTGACGAAGAATTGCGCTGAACTTGAGAGCCTCCCTGACAGTGCTCGTTTCTAGATGCAGATCCTGCTGCTGAACATACCCAGTCTTCCGTTGGAAAGAATCATCCCGAAGGCGTCCATCCACCAGCATTTCTCCAGTGACCACGCCAATTGTGACACGGTTAGCCAGTACATCCAGCAGACTAGTCTTTCCAGCTCCTGTCACACCCATCAGCGCCGTGAGAGTGCCAGGCTTGACCCAGCCATTCACGTGGTCCAGAATTCGGCGGTTTTCGCCCTTTACTTTGATATCATAGCACACGTCTTGCCAATGGAAGATCGATGTTTGCCTGAGGATAGCCGCGACTTCGTGGTCGTGAATATCTTGCTGCTGCGGCTTCTCTGACATAGCACCAGCTTCCGGATCATCATCCGAACGGGTTTGCCTTGCGAATACAGGAATCTTGCCACGGGGATAAACCAGAACCTCACCCTTGGACGGCTTCGCGCGTACTATTTCCGTTGTGACGATGTATGCGAACAGCGAGAAGAACAGAAAGCCCAGAAGGATACCATAGTTGCGCCACAAATGCGGACGGAAATATTCGTATGAGGTGTTAATGTATGCATCGCCATCGATGAAATTCTGACCAGCTACTGCGCCCTTTTCAGAACAGATTCTTGCTTCTGCGGGTATGTTCTCGTACCCCGGTCCGCTGGGGAGAAATGTGGCGCATGGGAACTGGCGATCGCTGAATTCGTTGATCATAAGGGACTCGAATGCGTACTGCTTGTGTTAGCAGGACCCAGGTAACAAATTAGGACGAAGGAGACTTACAGCAATCGGGTTGAGATAATTCAACCATCGAAACCACGGGTGCATGTCTCTTGTCGGTATGGTAAACCCCGTATAGATAACGAGAATCATCATGAATATCGACGACGGAACCAACGCTTGCGCTAGTGACCGGGACACAGCCCCAATCCAGCGGAAAATATGAGACATAGTCAGAGTCGTCGTCGCAGAGAACAGCAGGAAAACGAAGAAGTGACCTGGCGTGCGACGTAAATTACTCATGAAGTAGAGGATCACATTGAATACTATCGCGACAATTACTTTCGCTGGCATATCGACAATCATGGAACTTATTGCTTCAGCGGATGGGTGGTATAGCGCGTACTTGTCATGTTTTTCGACGATGGCCCGTTGTTGCCACAAACTCAGGATTTCGAGGGCACTTGCAAAGGCGTTCAGTAGAATTGCAAAGAAGAGCAGAGCGCCGCGCGAGAAGAAGCTACCGGTTGTCTCATCGAGATCGTAGAAGACGCTGGCGACGATTAGCGACATGATGATGTTTCCGATAACTGTGGCCATGGTCATGCTCGTGTCGCCCTTGAGACGCAAGAAGCCGCGGCGGAGACATAGGGAAATCTGCATGGAATAGGAAATAGTATACGGCGAGGTGTTTCGTGTGAATTTGGCTTTCTCTGCTTGCCGGGAGCGTGAGAACTCCTCCAGTTTTCCGTCGCCTAGAGGGTATTCGTTTTGGAAGTTCTCGATGTCAATTAGGAGTTGCTTCCGCTCTGCACTGTCCCTCCATCGAGCTGCGAATTCATCAGGCGTGCGAGGGACGAGGTGCTCAAACCCCCGTCGAATTCTTCGCTCAACCGGGCTGGATAGCGAGGTTAAGAAATCAGCGGTAGTCTGTCTGTCCGGACACTCGAACCCCATCTTAACAAAAAAGCGTTTGCCTTCCGATGCATTGCCGAAGTAGATTTGCCGGCCTTCGTACAGAACAATGACCTTGTCGAAGAGGTCGTAGATGGCCTGACTGGCCTGGTAGATGGCGACGATGGCTGTGGAACCACTGTACTGCGTCGACAAGCTGAGGTTCTTGACAAACTCCAGTGCCGTGGAGCTGTCGAGGCCACGAGTACTGTTATCCCAGCATTGCAGCGGGCATCCGCATAGCGTCGTCTCGGCAATACTAACCCGCTTTCTCTCTCCCCCAGACACGCCGCGGATCATGTCACTGCCCACAGGCGTGTTCATGGTATGTGTCAGGCCCAGCATGGCCATGGTGACATCCCGCATATGCTCTGCGTACTGAGCACGGGTAACGCCAGGGAAGCGATTGGATGGTGCACGTGCATTTGCCGCAAAGAGAAGGGTGTCGCCTGCTGTGAGCTGAGGAAAGTGGATCTCGGTTTCGGCTTGGTAGATCACTTCGCCCCGGAAGCGAGTGTGCATTTCCTCCCATGAGATGCCTTGGTATTGAATATCAGCGCCTTCGTCGAGGAATAGGCCGTGTGTTTCGCCTGCGATTGTTTTGAGGAAGGTTGAGCAGCCACTGTAGAAATCAGTAAGAACTCTCCTTCTTTATAAGTGTAATGCATACCTTCCAGGCCGTCCAAGCACGACAAGCATCTCCCCACTTCTCACGAAGCCCTCAAAATTCCGCAAAATATCAATGCGTACCTTCTTCCCGGATCCCAGGACTCCCTGAAGCCATCCAACCCCCTTCAACCACATATTCGAAACAGTCGTCTGATAGTCTACCGCAGACCCGTACCCAAAGACATTCAAATTCCGAAAACTCACACCCGCACTCCGTCGCGGATACCGATCGGGGTCCCTCGCACAAACATCCAGCATATTCTTCACCCATCGCCTCGAATTGAAGTTATTCGACTGCGGGTCGAGGTCTGGCCGACTCCCAGGGTCAAGGAATGTGTTGACGCCCCGACTCGCGAAGTCCCGAGAAACCCGTGAGAACTCCTGAGAGACGCGGGAGATACTGCGAGCAACGTCGACGATGATATCCTCATTCTCTTCGCCGATGTCATCTTTCAATAGATCACCGGCGGTATCTGTGCTATCGGTCTTGCTTTGCCGGTTGGGGTTGGGACTGACTAGAGTCGATGCAGCCTCATCGATGTTCTCTTCTATCCGACCTAGCTGGTGGGCAGTGTGAGTTGTCCCAGACTGGGCTGCCTCACTAGGAGGATACCGTCGTTGTGACATGGCGACTCCTGTTAGCAATAGCCAGGCATATCAAACCAATACTCGACTATTGGCAGCAGATACCTGTAGACAAGATATCCGGATATTCAGTTCACATTCAGATCACATCTCCCTCGAAAGTGCAAACCCCCAAGGGCAGACACAACATAATATGGCACGGAAACCGGAAGCACGGGGGATCCGAGCACCACGCCCTTGTGTATTGAATTTAAATTCATTGCCTACCAGAATACAAATCAATTGCCCGGGTTCCCCCTAGCACAAACCACTTTGAGGTTATACAAAAGCTGAAGGGTATTTCCCGATTTTGCCAAGCAGGAAGAAAGCCCTAGTCCGGAAGGGGAAGTTGCTGGTTCTCTTCACAATATGACATGTGACACCATTCCATCCGGGCCCACCAATGCCGGCGCTAACTTGGAGAGTTATTTCTGGTTTGAACTAATGGTACGGTGTGTTGCTGTCGGATGCACTAGCATCCGATATATAAAGTATACGGAACATAGCTCGGTTACACTAGCGCGTACGGCTAGGGTTAGGCGAGTTCGGGGATTGTTGGCTGCCAACTAGTCCAATTGCTTATATCGAGGCTTTGCAGCCAATAGGTTGAATTTTCTACCTAATCTTATGAACACGGTATAGTGCAGCAACCTCACCATTGTCTATTTGTACTCGCCAGGTAACTCCAGCATAGCTGGCGCTGACTGATATTTGTCAGCTCACACAGCAAGGATGCTCTGCAGGAACCCTGGCCGACCAGCAGCTGCAGCTGCAGCTGCGAGCGGTTTCCCACCTGGGCGGATCTCGTCCTCGAGCACAGCAACACCAGTCGAAGTTAGAATCTTCCCCGTGGATGAAACTGCCTCTGCGGCGACACGCTCCACCGCTACTCCTTTTACCACGAATGCTGTCTCGAAGCCGTGACGCTTGGTCTCGCCTAGATACGAGCGTGATCCGTGTGTGTCGGTGACGGAGTAGAATCGCCAGACTGCTGTCTCTGTGTCGCCATTCCAGGAGACGTAGACTGTTGTCCCGGAGACTGTCTTCTGAGATACGATGGCAGGTGTCTCGTTTGGAAACCCGGTCCAGTTGTACCGGAAGGCACGGTAGTTCTGGACACCTTCTCCCAGAAAGCCCGAGTCCATGTATGCGTGGAAGATGGGTGTGCCGTCGGGTTTGTACTCGGTCACCGCACCTTCAGAGCCCCAGTTTACCAGCGCGTTGCCGCTGGGGAGAAGCTGCATGCCACCCTGCGACTTCGCAAGAAGGCCGTCAGGAGGCTGGAAGGCTTGCACGATGCTCGCTGACCAGGTAGCAGTGTTGACTCTGATGATTTTTCCCTGCGAGAAGGGATGCGTGTGTAGTTCTGTGCCGCGACCGCTCTCCGTGCCGTGTGCTGAGTTGTCAAATAGCGAAATAACCTCTTCAACTTCGTCCTGGGACACGAATCGCGCATGGTGCTGGAAGCAAAACGCGGCGTTGGGACCGAGTTCAAAATCCGAACGCTTCCCGCCCAATCGCCAGATGATCTCGCCCGTTGTACCGTTGATTTTGTGCACGGAGCAGGCATCGCGCGCAGAGATGAGGTAGTTGCCATCGCCGTCTTTGTCTACAGAGTTGATGTGGAAGTAGTCCCAGGCGTCGGAGGAGTTGTAGCCCGAGCCTGCTTGGCCGGGGTTTAGGGGAATTATGGCCTCTGTTTGGGTTAGTTCTACTCGTCTTGGTTATTGAATGAGGCCTTCTTACCATCAGGAGAGACGTGATCCAGACTCGCCCATTCAAAGAGCAACTCACCAGTTTCGATGTCCAGTTCTGTTCGGTCAGATACTCATCCAAAACAGACAAAATGACAGTACACACCCTGGAAAATCGCATCCACAATCCACTGCTGCTCAACACCCCCACCCCACCGTTTTAAATCTACCGGCCTCGGCTGATAAACCTGAATCAACGCTGTCTCCTCGTTGATCACATGAAACTCATGCTTATCCATCAGTTTATGATTCCCCGCCCTCAACTCCCGCACCGTCTCATACGACTGATCCAAAATTGTCGCATGACCGTGCCCATGTCCGTAATTCGGATTATGATCACCCTCGAAACTAAACAGGATATCGTGGTCCTTCCACCGCGCAGCTTGGAAGTTCGTCGCCCAGATTGAGTAGTATGTATATCCCGACCAGACCAGTTCACCGGTGGAGGTGAGGATGTAGGGTCCTTCCTGGCGCGGGCCGTGTTGTTCGGTGCTTGTATCGGGTAGGCCTGGGAAGGGGGCTACGAATAGATAGCCTTTTTCCACGTCCGGGGTAGCAGGGATAGTGATGTTCAATCGCGGGGGCGCCAGGTCCGGGCGGGTTTTGAATTGCCAGTCTGCCGTGGCGATGGGAAGTGCCGTGAGTGCTGCGGCAGCAATTGGGAGGAGTTTCATCCTGGTGGGGATTGGTGTTCGCTGGGGGGGTTAGCGGTTGTTAACGCCATTGTGTGTTGCAGAGGGTACATTAACCTTGGTTTGGTATTCTGCACTTGATGCTTTTGTTTAATTGTAATTGGCAATTGGTAATTATTTGGCAGAGGTACCTGGTGTTGAAATGCTCGGTACTTATAGTTCTGCTCTATGTGTGCCCTAGATTTACATGGTGAAATCCCCGCCGGTGATTTCGTGCTTTGATAGACAGTACTTTGGCATCTCCGCATTACATGCACGTCAACGGGATTTTGATGGCATCATAGCGGCCGAATGATATTCCCTATATGAGGATAATACAGATGGCTGGTATTCCGTCGACTTACAGAAGAGTAATGGCAGCCGAAATCGGGCCAGAAGCTGGATACTTGTGGATCTAGTATTTACCCTACTTCAGAATCAACATGTAGACTTTCCTTGACATAATGAATACAATAACATAGATTACAAACACATAAATCATAATCAACTACTCCAATCTCGGCCCATGATAGAACCCCCTCGCATACAATAACCAATTCCCAAACCCAAGCACCAACATCGCCCCAATAACAGCGGAGGCATAATCTACTATCATCAGCACAACTACTCCTCACACAAGCCAAACCAGTCACTTTAATCAAAACACAAAAGGAGAAGGAAAGACATACTCATATTTCCCCCGGTAACCGGAAAACTCGCCGGAAAGCAGAAAAACACCGTCTCGACAACCGCCCACAACACGCATACTGTGTTTGCGATGTAGCCGATTACATCGGGGACTTTGAAGACGCGTTTCGCAGGGAGATAATGTGTGTCTCGGCGGCGGATGAGGAGGAGCAGGGCGGGGATGGCGAAGGAGATTTGGGCGATTATTACGGTTGTGCTTATGAAGGCGTTGAATGCTTTTCTCGTCAACATGTATATGGTTAGGGTTAGAATGAGGAGGCGGGGCTGGATACCAGTAGTTGAGCAAACATAGACAATTCCGATCAACATCACGATAACACCGTTCGCCACGAGTGCGTAGATAGGAACATTTAGTCCCTCGTGGACACGGCCTAACCATCTCGATCCGAAAAGTGCGTCGTCTCGCGCGAACGACCATGTCATTCTTGAAGCGGTTTGGTGTACAGCGTTCAGTGCGACGCAGGAGACTGCGAATAGGCAGGCCATGAATACTGTTCCGGCGATGGGGGAGTTTGTGGCTTGCATCCAGATTTTGTATATAGGTACCCTTTATTTGCTATTAGCCTGTATATTTTCGACATAGCAAAATTAATAGGATAGGGGTAGATGAGTACCCAGTAGGATCATCCAACACCGCCGCCACATCCTTACAGCTATACACCGCGGCAATGGCAAACGGAAACGCAGTCATGAATGCTATCAGCACGGTCACCATGACAGCCCGAGGGACGATACGTTCTGGCTCGAGACATTCTTCAGCTAAATGTAGTGCCGCGTCGAGACCCGAGAGCATGAACTGTGGTGTTGAGAGGCCGGTTAGGTAGGCAATTGCGTTGGGCCAGCCGTTGGAGCCGTTGGTCATTTGTGTCCATATGGCGGTGGAGTCAATTTCTTTTGTGTCGGGGGAGAGGATGGGGCAGGTTATTGTGATGGTGAGGAAGGTAAGGAGAGACAGTATAACTGTTTGTAGCTGTTAGCTTGTATGTAGGGAATTTTGGGGGGTATGGTAGGAGTACAGCCAACGTTGTACACCCAGAGGGTGCGGTTTGTCAAGAAAATGTTGTACACAACCACCACGATATTCAACAACTGATATACCAAAAAGCTATGCCAGCTCTGCATCTGATACCCCGGCTGCCACTGAATAACCATCGCCATCAACGCCTCTGTCGCAGCAACCCCAATCGACGCTCCCAACGTCACCCACGAAAACACTGCCGCCAACCCACAACCATACGACAACCCCCGACTCCATTTCCTCCCCGCTAGGATAGATGTGAAATGATACTGCCCTCCAGCAGTGGGGTAAACACTCGCGAGTTCCGCCAGGGTTAAACCAGTGCAGGCCATTGTTGCAGCGACGGTGATGATGCCGTAGAGCAGCGAAATGGCACCGCCGGATTGGATGGCAATGGCGAAGCTGGTGGCGATAGCTATCCAGCTGTTGGAGATGTTGTAACCGACAGAAATGATGTTGAGGATGCTAAATTTGCGTTTCATCGGGGTGGAAGGGGGAAGGCCGGTGACGACTTGGCCGGTTGCGAGTTCGATTTCGGGGGCATTGCTAGTCTTTTTTTCGATGTCCATGGTCTTTTCTCAAGCAGTATAGTATGCTGCACAAGTCTGCGGTTGAGACCTGCGGAATCTATATGCTCAAACATAACCCTTATCACCCCGACATGATATTAATATCAATACGATAACAACCACGCTTATCACCAGAATAATTCCGAGCAGCCCTGTTATCTGCCATTGTGATAGGGGGAAGGCTCCTCGTGCAGCGGAATCATCGCGGAATTATGTCCTTCATTTTCGTCTGCCTGACAGGTGATAGACACTGGCACCTTGCGGGGAGGCCTTGTTTCCCCGCGAATTACCCTTTCGGGTTGTATTGTTTTGAATGTCGTCTCCGCATCTCGGAATGGCAGTGGAAAGTAGAAGGATAATTCGACGTCATTGGTGTTGAGAGATGAGTATTGTCTGGTTCTTGATTCGTGCTATAGATAATGATATGCGGACTGGCATGCTGCAGGAGTATATACTAGAGGTTAGTGGGTAGGAAATGGATTTTACTCGGTAGTCAAGCATTGACAGATTCTCTGCGGAATGGTTAGCCTTGTGCTTCCCGGAATTGCTGGCCATCTTCAGTAACTGCCTGGAGGTAATCCTGACTGATTCGAGCATTTATGTAACTGACACATGGAGAGCAACTAGAAGGATTACGAGTATGAATATCCAGAGGTGTGTTGAAGTCGGAATCCGAAGACACAAGGCAGCGGCTAGTGCCCGAAGCCATTCGCTTTATATTATTCAGTCGTTGAATCATAGCATGGTGACAGAGGAATAGACCGAGTGGCATTATGCTATCCAAGCGTTTCCAGCGGATTAACGAGACAACTGTAGAGCCAAGACTGATAAGGGATAATCATTTATCCCGGCTACGAAAACGATCGACCATTAAGAGGTATATTTGCAGTCATAAAACAATAAAACATGAAACAGGATCATTAAATACGCGCCGTAAAAGGGAATAAAAAAAAAGAATAGTCACCCGTCTCCTAGCCGCTGTCCAGATGCCATGCCAGAGTATCCTTATTATGGAACAACGATCGAGACCACTCCGGCGCTTGATTATGTACGTGTCGCATCGCGGACTCGGGACGAGGACGGGGACGAAGAAGCGAAATCATCGTAGTCGGTCGAATCATCGATCATCGGTCATCGAATCGATCGTGGACGGTCTAACACATTTCACAACACTCGATGCACTCGAAGCAACACTCGCAGGATTCCTCGCACAGGAAGCAGCAGCACAGGGTGGCAATGCTATTGAGCGAAAACATTAGCCATTCATCCTATTTCATCGAATGGGGAAAGAAAAAGAAAAGAAAAAAAAAAAAAAAAAACTCACCAAGCTGTCAAGCATCCACGGTCCTTCTTCTGTGGCGGAGGAGCTTGCTGGTACTGCATCTGCTGCTGGAGGCTGGTTAGTTGCGAAAAGACTATTTAAGATTCGAAATCGACTTACAGGAGGGGGGTACTGGGGGTAGCCCTGCGGAGGAGGATAGCCGCCCTGAGGATAGCCTTGAGGGGGATAGCTGGTCCAGTGTTAGTGAGCGCTCGAATAAACGGACTGCGCCCAACGCGACAACGCAACAACGCGATGGGCATTTGTCGCGCATAAAGCACAGAACAGAGGAGAGGAACTCACGCCTGAGGTGGAGGGGGAGGACCGGCGTAGTACTGGTTGGCGCTCATGGTGGTGGTAACTCGTGGTAAACGGTTGCTAAGAACTGAAGATAGTCAGCATCCCGACAGGAACGAAGGAAGCAGTACAGCCAATAAGCGGGGAAGAAGACGGACCGAAGAAAATGCCAAGTATTCGCTGCGTCTAGTCGGAACAACAAGCAATACAAGTATCGATAGTTTAATCTGTACTTGTATGTTAAGGTGTTAAAGTGGAAGAGAATAGGAGAAAAAGTCAAGGAGATTCTCTGTTATTATTCTTCTCGTCCAGTCCGACTAGTCCGGTTCGGGCGTTCCTTCGTACCGTATTTTTACACTGTTTGGGACCACGGGCCATGGATCGCCCATACTTCTTTCAGCGGTACGGAGTGCTTTGTATTTTCTGTCGAGGCTATGTGCTTGTATTTGTCTTCTATCTATAGCTTCTCTCTATCAGTGTATCTATGTATCTATTTTCTATGTATCGATTTCTATGTTCTATTCTGGCCATATGTATCATAAGGAGTACCTACTGTATCGTATGGTACGGATCAGCCACAGCCCTATCGGCACCCCAGCCACGGTGGTCCTCTGCACAGCCGCTAATTGGCTGCCACTCTCCGATCCCCGGCTCTCCTTTGCCTGGAACTGGAACTTCGGAGTAAGAAAAGAGAGAGCAAAATCAAACCATGGCACTGTCAGCAGCCAACTCATCACATTTTTGATTCGCTGCCGGTTGGTATTCACGGCTATCGGAATCCTCCGATAACTCCGAACTCAGCCACGGGCCGACGCCACAACCATTCACCGCCGGCGAAACGGTGCTGCCTGCGTCTGCCGGTAAAATCTGCTGTAATGATACTGAAAGTAAGCACGGTCCAGGGTCTCTACCGATCTACTTCTATGGTAGATGGTCTGGCAGAGAAGAATATATTCTTGTCATGTTGAATTCTTATCCCTGGAAGGAGAGTGAGAGCGAGAGAAAGAGAAAGAGAGAGCACAATGCTACAGTCGCGTTCTTCAAATTATTAGATTCCATGTGAACGAGTCTGGTTCTGTTCATCACACATCAAGTCGTATCTGTTCTGTTCTGTTTGGACCTCAACAGGTCCGGCTGAAAGTCGGCTATCCGACTCCGGTGTCGTGCCGATTGTCCCTCAAACGGAGAAGAGTGAAAAAAAAAAAAAAAAGAAAAGAAAAAGAAAAAGAAAGAAAAGAAGAAAAGAGGTCGTCGAAGAAGTCAAGTCGAAAACAAATGAAAAGTGAAGAAGCCAAAGGCCAAGGAGTATTAACATGGCAGTGCCACGAAAAGACGAATGAAAGAAGTCAAGTCAAGAAGAGTAGAAAAAGAAGAAGTCAAGAAGAGTAGAAAAAGAAATCTAAAAGAGAAGATGAAAATAAAGAAAAGAAAGAAGAGGTCATCAATCGTATCACATCGCAAGACTCTCAATCTCGGGAGGAATTTGCGGAGTATCAAAGTAAAACGGGGCATCCAAGGACAGATCCAAGCCCGTCGCGGGCAAGGGAGGCATAGACACATCATATCCCGTACTCATCAGGGTCGACTCCAATCCCGAATTCACATTCTGATCCGTCTGGGGCATTGACAATTCGCCAAACGCCGTGTCACCCTGCAAGGTAGGGACAGGCGCGACAGCAGTGACAGCAGTGACAGTAGGAACAACAGGGGCAGCAGTGCTGGTAGTCAAATCCTCACCCAGTCCCTCAGAGTCGAGATAGTTCTGTGCATTCTCATAGACAATCTCCTCCTTCTGGATCATCCAATGCTTCAGAACTTCCATGGGCGGGTGATTTCCGCCGCCCTTGCCACCACGCTTCTCACTGTCTTTCCCACGGCCACCGCGGCCACGTTGGCAGGGGTTGAAGTGGGTACGACGCAGATGAGCAGCTGCGTTGTAGTTGGCTCCGTAGCGCTTGCCGTTGCGGCAGGCCTTGCAGTTGGCCAGGAAGGTCTTGTCGGGCGAAATGTCAACGCAGACCCACACCTTGCGAACCACGGAGTGCACCCGTTCAATGTGACGGCGCAGTTCATGCTCGCCGTGGAAACCATCGGGCTGGTCGTTGCACATGTTGCAGTACGTCTTGGGCCGGGGAGGGCGCTGAATCGAGGCCTTTGGGATAGCAGCCACCTCCTTGGCGGTACCATCAGAGGAGGAAATGCGGATCATTTTGTGCTGCTGCTGGGGCTGTTGGGACAGCTTCGGAGTCTCCTGTGGCTGCGACTCAGCCACACGGCCGTCGCTCGACTCAACCTTGGGAGCAATAGGACGGGTCCCCTGCACAATCTGTTCTTGCGTCCGACGTGCAGCCCTCGACTGCTGAGATGCCGAAGAGCTATTGCTTTCAGTGGACATGGAAGGCTGCATGTCCACTGCAGCGGAGAGCGAAGAAGACACGACAGGAGCAGCTATCGCAGAGTCGGTGGTGATGGCGGAGGGGGCAGAGCTGGAGAAGCCCAAGGGAAGATCAGGTGTAAACGAGGTAGCGAAATCAGCCGAAGTAGGAAAGGGATAGGTGAGGGTGGAGTCCAGATTTGATTCACCCGATGAGTTGAAGCGAATCATGTTGACAGCACCGCAGATGGAATCTGCTGTATCCGTCCGACTCATATCGACGGCATCGGCCGACTGATCGGTATAACCAGGCAATCCATCGATGTTCGTGAACACCTGGGGGGGTCCCTGCTGCTTAGCGGCTAAAGCCTGAGACAGTGCAGAGACCCCCGTTGGACGCTGGACGTCGTTGAGGTGCTGCTTGGTGTATTCGGCGGGAGAATATTCGCTGACTTGGCCGAAGCTGAGTTGCTGGGGACAGTGGAATCCATAAGATGGTTGCATTCCAGAGGTCAGGGACTGCGGCACCTGCACGGTATGCGAGCGAACCATGGCCGTATGTGATCCAGTCAGATTCGAGCGGGGAGAGCGGTTGTAGTGATAGTTGCTGTCCTTCCAAGAAGAAGACGATCTGCGCAGAGGCCGGGTGGGCGACACGACGCCGACAGGAGAGGATGCATTCGAGAGGTCGCGCGTCAGGTCAATGACTGGAGCTTCCGGGTTCTGCCATTTGTCAATCCAGGGTCTGTTGGCGGGATGACGAGAGTGATGTAGTATAGTAGTATAGAATGGGGGGGGGGGAACATTAAGGTGGCAGTAGCGCACGAGGCAGCAGGAGGCGGATGGAAAGAGGTCAAGAGGGGAGGAGACCAGGATCACATACGGTGGCACGTCGTTTTGAAGGTGGAAGCCCAAGATCGGGAAGAGTCCTTGGAGTATCCGGTCGAGGCCGTTTCCCGGAGTTCACCAGATGGCAGGCACCATTGTCAAGGAAGCCCGGCTCGGGGGCGGAATGACCACCTTCACAGCCGGTGGTGGAGACGAGGAACTGGCTGAGGTGCTGACTCCAGAGCTGGTTCCTTTGCGCTTCAGGAAGATCCGCATGCTGGTCCATGAACACGGCGCGATACCCGGAGATGGCTCTTGTGAAGAGACCTTCGTCGGCCATAACAGCCATGTTGTTGTATATGCGGGATGGTCCGTTATCAGTACCAGAGATCGGTGGTGGGGTTTGTTTATCTATTTATCGTGCGCAACGGTCAGTGTATGCGATGGGGAGGAGGGAGGAGGACACTGACTGTAGCAGGTATCAAGCTGAAGTTTGAAAGGGTTGAGAGTCGATGAGCTGTACGGCGAGAGCTGAGTCTGAATAAAGAGAGGAATGTGATAGATGATCGAGGGAGAGATGAGATGATAAGATAGACAAGAGAGATGGGAAAGTATAGAGATGGATAAAGAGATAGATGAATAGATGTGAGGATAGAGAAGTAGATGAAGAGAAGGAATGACAGAGAGGTCAATATATAGAAGAGAGACAATTGAGCATGTGTCGCATGGGAGGGTGGATGGGGAGAGTGGGCGAGGATGAGGTTAAAGTAGACCACGCTATATGAGGACTAGGAAAAGCATGGCACCTCCAAATGGAGTATGAAGAAAAAGAGGCATGAATCGTCATCTCGATTATTATTAGTGCTGTTATTATTATTATTATTATTTTATTATTTTATTATTCCTTGAATTGGTGAAACGAGAGTGAAGGCAGACAGACCATCCTGCTTAGTCACCCGGTCCTCTGCCCAACCTGACACTACTTCTGAAAAGGGACTAGTTCAAAACGGTCACCTGACTTACTTCATCAGGATTAGTGTCATGGCGCATTTGGTCCAATCCGGTCAGCCGTACTCTTCCCCAAAATGGTTAGTGGATAATTCCCAAAGTGAGGCGACGAACCGGAGAGCACCTTGTCAACTTCCGGACGATGTGTTGGTTCTACTTCCACGGAGGGACAAGAGATAGCGATTATTCATCCAAACTAGCCATCAGCAGCCACTCGCTAGATTGCGCCTACAGCGGCATCTGAACTTGGGCCACTTCCTCGACTCTCCGACTGCCACGTCGAAGTGGTGCATCCATCCATCCTTCATCTGACATGATTCCCTCTCGTTGTCTCCTCTGTGTTCTCGATCTGCTACGGAGTATCCGTACTCTGTACTAGCCTTTCGGCCGCTGTGGTTGAATCACAAGCCATTGGTACACTTCGCACATTTGCAGATGACGAGCTAGCCGACATATCCCCCTCTAGGTGTTCTCAGTTTTGAGTTCTGCTAAAGATGCAGACTCTGTCGTTCGTTGACTTGGTCAATAACAACGCGATTTGGGTAGGTATTGTGTCTGTACATCTACATCTACAGAGTACAACGGATGAAGAGTATGCATTTGATCCCACCCGCCATCCATACGGAAGGGTCCCCGGGGTTCTTTCTTCTGCGCGTGGCTGTTCCTGGCCGTGCTGAACATGTGCTGCGTGTTTCTTCGTACACAGCACACAGGTGGAGTGTTGTTCGTAGTCTCGTGATCAGTACAGAGTACTAGGATGGAATACTCTACGCTTGCGGCAGAGAACGGAGATGCTACTCCGGTTGTAGCGCTGCCCCTCAATCCCGGCCAAGAATCACGTGTAGCACGTGACGGCCGTACAGAATGAGTGGTCGAGGGCTTCAGTTGACAGAAGATGGCCCCAAGGGTACGTTCTCAGATACAGAGGGGTACAGAATACAGATTGTGCTCCCATCCACTCACACTAAATCGCTCGTCCATCGGCGTTTCATCGCGATTCATCTGTCCGGCATCTACAACCATCCACTCACCCTCCACTCACTCTCCATTCCCCTCCATTATTCCCCTCCATCCACCGCTAGTTTACCAGTCAGGTCCCGTCAACTGGTCACCGCTCCTCTGCAGAGGCGCCCGGAATTACTAACGTCAGACCCTCCAGACGCAAGTCGCAGGACGGAGCACAGGAAAATCGTCAACCTGACACACTTCATGCATGTACTTTTCTTTTCGGTCATGGCTAACTGGAGAAATGGGGCCATGGCTGGCTTCTTGATTTTTCTCGCTGTCTTCGGGAGTTAATCGTGGAAGGCGACCGAGAAACGCCAGTTCGTCGAGAACGAGTCAGGCTCACCGTTATCGTGATCCACAGTACGACTATGGAAATACGCTACAATGATTTGAGACTAGGATGTTCCTGGCTCCACGGGTCCTGAAAGGGTCATTCTTTCATTGCCAATAGTAATCGGAGATTACTCGACGCTATTTTTGCAGTGGCACGACGTCCTGTGGACAGAGGATTGTCTGTGCACGGAAGATTCTGTCCGGAGTAGCTGTACTCCATACCTGATGCATAATTGCCTCAACAGCGGCATAGCCCATGTACAGATACTCCGGAGTACAGACAACACAATACTCTACATAGTACTTGTAGAAGTGCGGCTAACGTCTGAAGAAGCGAAACGTCAAAAATAGATCTGGTTCCTTCTTCTTTGGGGTAGATACAGAACCCCTGAATCTCCCCATATGATTGGTCCAAGTGGTTCGAAAAGGTTAATTTCTCTCCACGGGTCATCATGATCGGCATGACTCAATCCATTGTTTTCGATCGAAGCGCATCTACGTGAGAAATCTCGTGGGCGAGAGGAACACACACGGAAAAGCACGGAGTACGGAGAAATACGGAGAACAGAAACCTCGACTCCAGGCCATGGGCTGATCCCATACGGCATACGGCATACAGACATCCTGCGCATGTACCGGCGTCGTATGGCGTACAGTACTCCGTACAGGTCCTGCAAATCGCCCTCGAGCTGACGAGGCCCGTCTGACCACCATAGTGGCTAAGTCCGTGAGCCTGAATCGTACGAAGAAGTACGGAGTATGTACTTATACTTGACGAGTTTTGTCCCATAGCGACACAGATCGTAGAGATCACAGCCCACTGAGGTGTCCGGGGTCTGTGCCATTCGTTCAGCGGCAGTGTTGTCCTGGCTACTTTTGGACGGAGACTTGTAGGATATGCCCAAGACAGGGTCTAGAGTCCAGGGCTTTCAGATCGATGCAAGGTCTGCTTGTCTTGTTATCGAGATAATTCAATTGATGGATTCGAGGCCCGGCGCTGTCGCTCGACATTTGCTAAATGGCCAACACTCGCGCGATAGATAGATGTTTTGTTGTAATTCCCATGCCCTATCTGACTCCCTGTACGCTATAGGCATCAGTAATTTGAGAAAGTCATCCCCGAGCGCATCCCCGTTTTTCGACATTATCCATCATCGAGCATGCGATAGACTGATCACATGTCTCTCCATTATTGGCATCGAAACAGACAGGCCATCTTACACCCTGCTGCGCTGCCAGCCAGTCAACATCGAATCCTCCTCGTCTACTACATGCGTCAAGCTGTCAGCAAGGACGCGCAGGGATTGTGAGGCAACGAATAAGTTCCTGGTCGGGAGCAATCATTGCTTCTATGGCCATGGTGGTAAGCATCTGCGTCTTTCAACGTCTGCGTTTGGGATTGGTAGTAATTCAGCGATAAGTATGACAGACTGTCATTCGCATCAGCCGTATCGCATATTCATGTGGCTCTCTAACGACTTTCTAGCAAACAACTGTCGACCAGGCACCACGTTGGTGACAATGCCAATCGCGCATTTCGAGCATGGCTTACTCTGTGCCTACGTATCACGTGCCGCTTACTCTTGCTGTTCACGCACTTGACGACTCGAATACCATTCCGTCCTAGACTGGATCTGGTCGGGTGCCACAGCCTTTACAACTCTCTGCACGGAAACCGTTATCGATAGTTTCGACTACTGAGAACCGACTCTACTCCGGCCGTCCATCACAAGATGTTTCCGTCTCTATTTTTTATGGCCGACCGATCTAGATCTGATCTACGTTGGTCTGAGATGATGTATGCGGAGTAAGAGTGTCCCGTAATAGGTTGGTACTCGTTATTGAAGGTGGTGCCAGGATATCTATAACATAGATGCTGGATGGACAATTCCCGGCCTCGGTTTTATACTAGGTGATCACTATGAATGAGGATTAATTCTCCGGACAATCGAGTCATGACAATGGTGCTCGTGCCGGTTGCGAAATATCGCCGAGCCCAGAGTACTATGCACTGCTCAGTCGAGTACTGACTTGAGCTTGCGGTTCTCATTTGGTACCTGGGTACGGAGTACATGGTACATACGGAAACCCTTCATTTCCGCATTTCACATATTCAGTCTGAGGCATTCTTACTCGTTTAGTCCATATCCGAAAGTCTACTGAGTCGAGTACCGAACACGGATATTAAGCACTGTTCTGGAAACGTTCTAGAAGGGTCCCGGAATCCTACGAGTACTGCTCTGTCCGGAGTACCCCGACATTATCAGGGTGGCATATGACTTTGTGTGTCCGAGCGAGTCATGGCGTTGATTCTCTGTAGAGGTATCAAGTGGCGATGTCATTCTCTGAGGTATCACATCCTTTGAAATGCCCGTGCCCGTTAGATATTCCCTCAACGGGCTATGTATATACATGACGACATCTGTATGGTCAGTCGCCAAAGCAGCACGGCCATTCTTTTACTCGGCATCATTCCTACGACTTTAAGACACCCCCAGCGCAAGCAAGAAAGTCCCTGGAGTATCCATGGATCCTTTACCGTGGACGCGCACTGTGGTCAACTCGACCAACCGGACAGAACCGTTGCCATCCACCGTACTGGAACAGGGTAGAAGCGCGCTTGACGTCAGATTGCCACCCGCCATATACCTTATATAACCCGTATAGAAATGTACGCATAGAGTATTTTGATATACAAAACATGCTGAACATGCTACTATGATATTGAGTACACTTCTGTATGTGTTGATATTCAATTAACGATACCACGTGACTATCGCGTGTTTGATGGGCGGGACACCACACCAGCCACGTCATAGCTCTCCTCAAACTCCTATTCTACGGAGGACTCCCTGAATACCTTCACCATACCACTCTTTAATCACCTCTGAATAAGCGACATCATGGCCGACAACACCCTCTACCTCTACACCTCCCTCACAGCGGGCTCCTCGCATATCGTCACCGCTACCGCCCGTCTCGAAACCATCCTTAAAGCCAACAAGCTCCCCTTCCGCGCAATCGACGTCGCGACCGACGATGCATCCCGCAAGCTCTGGGGTCGTCGTTCGCGCGGTCGCAAGTTACCGGGTCTCGTCAAGGCGGGGATGATCGTTGGTGTACGTTCCTCTGAACAGAATTGAGTTAAGAACATGGATTTTAAAGAATAGGGGCTGACACCGCGCAGGATCTAGAACAAATCGAAGAATGGAACGAGTACGGTGAGCTGAGGATGCAGGTTAATAACGTCGAAGCGTTGGATAGTTTCCCGACCGACACGCCTGCATCTCTAACTGGTAGTTCGACGACGACCCCTTCCGCGTCGGATCCCAATGCACCCCCGAAACAGAGCACCATTAAGATCCAGTCTCCGCCGTCGAAGGAGCATACAAAAGATGATTCGATTACCGTAGCCATGCGCCAGGCTAGCGAGGAGGCTGCGTCGAAGGCGAAGGACAACAAATCCGGGGCTGGACCCACGGACACCACTACTAGTGCTACTGTACCTACATCTAACGCAACAGCTGCACCCGCAGCTGGCACTGGGGAAAAGAAAGCCCCCGGCGAAGAAACTGTACGTCGGAAATCGATCATTGGCGAGATCGCAGGAGAGATCCAGCGGCCACGCCTTGTGCCTGAGAATGCTGCGGTTTCGTCTGCCAACCTGCATGCTGATAATCCTGCAGCTTTAAGGGAACACCATCGTGGCTCGATCGTATCGGCGACGTCCAAAGAGGAACGGGATCAGGTGGCGCAGGATCTGAGGAAGTCGATTTCGGGGGGTCACCAGGATATGCTTGATGCATTGAGACAGGATCATAAGGACCATAATGGGGAACAGAAGCCGACATTTGAGACAATTGAGCAAGATCCGTTTGAGGATTAGCTTTGGGTGCTTGGATTTACGAGGGATGATTGCATTGTATGCTGTATTCAGTTTTAATAGCAAGATACCTGTTCTTTTTTTTTTTTTTTTCCTTTCTCAAGAGAAGGATCGGAGCGGAGGATCTTGTTCCGATGACAAGTACATGTAGTATGACACAACATAAGCCATCGAGGCTAGTGTTTTCGTTCCTAAAGGTGAGTATGTATGCCTCTATCAAGAATCATGTCACTGGTCTTTGTATAGAAGCGTAATCTACTGCAAGAGATCTCATAATGGACGTGGAACTGGCCCGATCCACAGCATTGACAGACACATTCTCTGGACTGCCTTGATTCGTTGAACGAAAGCAGCCTTTGTATCCCTGTCGTTGACACCTTAGTAGAGCTTCTTGTCCGGACTGGAGGCAAAGTAGTCGCTATTGGGACCCAGCTAAGCCAGAAAAAATAGTTATAGCGACCTGCTCTACAAACAAAGAGAACATGCCGGTCTAGATTCATCAGCATCTTACCGCCATTTGGACATTTTTACAATAAATATCAGACGGATATCTCCTTTATCAAAAGGGTCATACATAGAATTGCGTGCCTGCGACACAAACGAGATCCAGGACATAAATTATAACTTTCTGCTTGTTGTCTATGAATATTCAGCTGGGAGGTTCCTCAGCAGAGTCAACAAACATTTCGATGATTTCAAGGAAATTGGCGCTAACGCCACTCCACAATGAACTGGTGCATTGCGTTTTCAAGGCCATAAGAATGCCATTTGTCTGGCTTCAGGTAGTCCAAGAACCTTCGTTCAAGGCTTCGATCGACTGTATTTCGGCATGATAACCGGCGTTGCGCGATGATGCAAAGTTCATGCTGGTAACAGCACCCGGGAAATGAGATCTTCCGTACGTATCGCAGCAAAATGCAAATCTATCCAGAAAGCGTTAATCGTGGACTTGCGAGGATGCATATGATAGGGAGATTACCATCTACCCTCTCAATCTCTACCATGCTCGAGTCTGTACAGTATTTCTGGTTTTTTTTTGACTTGCTCTCGCTTTTGGCATGGCCTTTGTGATCTTTTTTTATTCGGGTCACAAAGTTTTGCACATATCACTTTTTGCAAATACATGGTTGGTAACAGGGCTCTTCTGCGATGGTTCTAAGAAATAGTTGCCGAGTTTAAGTGATCGACTTTGAATCTAAAAGATCAGAGAGAACCAGAACTTGACCCATAACGTCTCGTTGCGTACAATCTTCGCTTTCCATCATAATTTTGGCAAGTGAGTTGTACCACATATCGATCCACGACGCAGTCCTGACTGGGTTGGTCCCGGCCATTTTAATGCAAAATCTCTCAGTTCTTTACCAGAGTACTTCCAGAAATTCCCGCTGGTTCCCCTGGTAGAGAGGTAAGCAGCGACTCGAAGAATGCACTTGAAAAAGCCATACAGCCAAAGCATAAAAGTTTTGACTCCAATAAGTGGCAGGTAACAGCTCTTCACAGTCTTTGCATAGATAGTGCAAGGCAAGGGCGATTTCGTTTCCCAGGTGCACGCAGTTCCCGTCTTGTTTACTGCCATTATCTGTCTTGATAATCCTGTTTGTGCTTCGAATCGTATGAAGTTGCAACCGGGGCTAGGTAGAACCCAATATAAACCCATTCTCAATTAATGGACAGTTTACTCATTATGTTGTTAGGCTTCACGAAGCCCGGACACCGATAAGGTGTAGGTCATCTCTACTCAGTGTCAGCGCTAGACGTCACGGACGTGGATTTCATCAACTCGCCTTGTTGTTAATTTTTTTTAACAATTTAGCTTGCAAATCAATGGCAATGGAACCACAACATGCTAGCACCTACCAGGGGTTGCTTCCAGCAAACCGTCCACTGATTGGGGAGCTCTAGTCGAACTGTAGCTCAAAATACCACCACCTTTTCGTTACCGGACACGTCCAGAATGGGATGCAAGTTATAGGACCAGGACTCTCGGAAATCTCTCAAATTGTTGACTTCTCTTGCCACCTTGATGAGAAGATGTTTCCACTAAGGGTCTGCTCGGGTCGCTGTCTTCTGCGATATTATGTTTCGGGTATCCAGGGCTGTCTTGGATCGTTTGGTTCAACTTTAAACACGTTTATAGGCTACATATAGCCATGATGAAATCGTCTCTGAACAAACCAAGCTTCATGTCAGCCAACATAAAAAAAAAAAAAAAAAAACACTGTATACTCCAGTTTCGACGTGAGCCACGGGAGTATCTCGAAATTAAACACCACTCACAACGCTTGTATTGCTTATAGAATTGCTCCAGACCCAGCTTCAACCAGCGACCGCTGCTAGATGACGCTCAGCAACAGAATGGGTGTGTTCGACCCTGGACGGGGGAGGTTGAAGATGTCTGCCGGGTGGTAGTGAAAGACTGAAAGGCATCAAAGAGACATTGTTGAGTAAGGCATTCACTTAGGCCTGAACGACCAGGCCTGGCCATCGGGATGAGGCCTAGAATCCAGAAATAGAAGAGTGAAGTAGGACAGCGAGGTATATCTGCTGCTATTCACTACCGCTTAAGGAGCCGCTGTCATCACCGAGAAAGCAGAAGCCGGTTGGAAATGCTCTAGTACGGACAGTACAAATGAAGTCTGAATGCTTTCCATTTTGGGATCTACAGGTCATGTGAGCGAGCAGGAATAAGGCGATGACATCATAACACCACGATCCGAGCATGGATTAGGATAGCCAGTTTTCTATTCTATCAGGAATGGCTGTTCAAATAAAGACATCAAAATCATCGTAAATCCGTATATCATTGTATCCCGAGAATGGTCTGAAACCGGACTCTGGATTCTTCGCGTAGCTTTTAGATCATGAAAAGACAGAAGATAGACTAATGCAATTAAAGCGACGCCTTGCTGTGCTTGTTGACGGTCTCGCGCAACTTGGCAATAACATCGCCTGGGTTTTCAGCACCAAAAACGGCCGAACCAGCGACAATGACATTGGCGCCCGCTTCCGCGGCCTGGTCGATGGTCCCGAGACCAAGTCCGCCGTCGACTTCGATGTTGAGGTTGGGGTAGCGTTCGCGCAGGGCCTTGACCTTGGGCAGTTCTGACGCCATGAACTTCTGGCCTCCGAAACCAGGGTAGACCGTCATAATCAGGGCCATCTGTATATTTCTGTCAGTTCCGTGCCTTCCATCACGAGAACACAGGGTATCCACTCACATCCGGGCGATCCTTCTCATCCTCAGCGGCCAGAATATCCCACAGCACATCGACGGGAGTATCGGGCTTAATGGCAATACCGGCCTGCATGCCTTCATCGTGGATGAACCGGATCAGTTCGCGGGGGCTCGTGGGGCGGGTGGTGGTGTCTGCGGGCTCAGTGCCGGCGGGGGAGTTGACGGCGGCCTCGTAGTGGAAGCAGTAAAGATCGCAACCGGCCTTCTTGAATTCCCTAACCCATTTATGTGGCTAGGAATGGGAGCGCATTAGTCTGAGGCTCAGATCTGGATGCCAGAAGACAGATAGAGCAAGACTCACCTCCGCGATCATCATGTGGCAGTCAAAGGTGCCCCGGCCTTGGGGCTCTGTCGGCCGGCTAACATGCGAACGGATCTTGGTGACAACGGGAGCTCCGAAGGTGATGTTGGGAACGAAGTGACCATCCATGATATCAACGTGGAGCCAGTCAGACCCCTCTTCCATCTTGGTCGAGCATTCCTGGCCGAGGGTAGCGAAATCGGCGCTGAGGATGGAGGGAGCTATGATCGCGGGGGGACACATTATGAGAAGATCGAGTTGCGATGAATGACGCTGGTGTAAGTAGTGTACGGGGAGGTTTTACGGGATCTGGGGTATAAAAAGAAGAGATGAAACGGAGGATAGCAGTCCGGAAAGGGAAAAGCGGTTACGGAGTACGGTGAAGCGACGGTGAATTATTTAAGAAGCGGGCAATCTATACGTATCCGGGCAGGCAACGAAACAATTGGCGGCAACGCAGCGACAGTCCTCTACTGTCAATACTGGATTCTCATTGATTCCTGCTGGTTATTATGGAGAACTGAAAAATAGTGTTGACATCAGTCCGGATGGCCCGATCGGGTGATCGGTCTGATAAGGGCTGGGGCTTTTTGGTGTGTGTTGTTAGTTGGATGAATTGGGTGCCTATCGGCTAAGGCTAGCTATATGTCTACCGGGCAGAAAGCGAGGGCGGTCAAGCACGTGACCCGATGGGTACTAACACCCCCCCTCGCACGAGCTGGAGCCCGGAAGTAGAAGAGCTCTAAATACATAGAAAACGCATACAAAACAAAGCAGATGTACAGGCAAACTGGGGTTCAACAGCAAAAAGACAGTATAGAACAAATAGAATAGTGCGAGAGTTCGCCTCTATTCTCTGTTTGAAATCTGGTCGCTTTGGCAGCGGTTGTGATGATGTCGGTCCATATTAATGAGATGAAGGAAGTGTCGATGGTCTAGAGTGCTTAGGATCTTGGTAAGTCCGTCTGCTGGATTCTCTTTTGAGCGTATGCTCTCTATGCTGACTAGGCCAAGGGCCTGTAGGTCCCGAACGTGATGAAATCGAACGTCGATGTGTTTGGACCTCTTGGTCCCCTCCGTTGAGGATAGGGCGATTGCTCCTTCATTATCCATATAGAGCTCAATGGGCGGGGAATCGGGTTTGGCAACGCCCATCTCGATGCATACACGACGAAGCCATACAGCCTCTTTTGATGCTTCGGATCCTTCCATATATTCAGCTTCATTGCTGCTTGTGGCGACGCAGCTTTGAATTTTTGATTTCCATGAGATAGGTGAGCCGCCATATAGAAAGATGAAGCCTCCTACTGATTTTCTTCCTGCATTAGGTCCTCCCCAATTAGAATCTGCGAAACCTTTTGGTAGGTGGGATATAATCGTCTGTGTACGAGGATAGTAGACGATTCCTTCGTCAATTGTTCCTTTCAGGTAACGTATGACATGCGTGAGCGCATTCCAGCATTTCTTTGTGGGTTTGGTGTTGTAGCGGGCTAACATTCCTGCTGCCTCAGCTATATCAGGGCGAGTCTTTACTGCTAGCCATTGCAGTTTTCCAGTTCCTCGCTGGTACTCGTGAATAATCACAGAGTCATCGGGCAGGTCATCTATCACTAGACCACTCGGTAGAGGTGTGGTTTGGGGGTGGGAGTTCTCTAGTCCGAATGACTGGACAAGATCCTTGATATATTCGCGTTGATTAAGGTGAATACATCCATTCTTGAATTCAACTTCCATGCCAAGATAGTACGTCATGTCGCTGACGTCTTTTATCTCCCATTCTTTGGCTAGGGCATTCTTTGTCCATTCAATATCATCAGCTCGCTCAGCTACGAGCTGGAAATCGTCAACATGGGTAGTGATATAAAGGTGCTTTCGTTGTTGATGGATGAATAGACCAGGGTCATATGAGCATGTCCGAAAGCCTAGTCTATGGAGAGCAGCGGTAAGTGTGTCATACCATATGCGGGCTGCTGGAGTGAGTCCATATATTGATTTCTTCAGCCGCCAGGCTAGACCTTCGCCTTTTTCAAAACCAGTCGGTTGACGCATATAGATTTCATCAATCAAATCGCCATTCAGGAAGGCGACTGCGACGTCGAGCTTTCGCATGTGCCATCCATTGGCAGCAATCAATGCGAATAGCAATCGGGTAGTGGCTGCGGAGACCACTGGGGCATATTTGCAGTAGTCATACTGCATATCATCTTTCTCAACAAGATTTCCAAGGATAACCCATCGAGCTTTGTACGAGCGTTCATCAGTGGATGGATAGTCCTCTTTGCTGTCATACACCCATTTGCCAGGGAATATACGCTTGTTTTTGGGCACATCGCTGATCCGGACTAATTCGAATATCTCTTTGCTCTGCAGTTTCGAAAATTCCTTTTCCATCGCGCGTTGCCATCTATCTTTGTCATCTCGGTCCATAGCGCGCCTCAAAGTCTTTGGTATGTCACGCGAAGTTGCTCCAACTATATATGCAGCGAAACCTTTTGCTGGACGAGATATGACGTCGTCTGGGGCGTCGTCAAAATAGGGTTGGGTGGTCATCTTACTATTGGTTGAGGAAGCGAGTGAAGTCGGTTGGGGAGTGAATGTTGGATCAGTAAGCGAGATTTGCCCCTCATCCACGTATCCATCAGGCACATTGATGATACTATCTTTCTCTAGATTCCATACCATCGCGATATTGCTGGCTATATGGCCCAGAAGTAGGCCATACGCCCCGCGGGTGTCCATTTTGTCGGTCGGTTTCTCAGTACCATGTCGGTGATACCAGATTCTCGCTCCGAAAGGACGTAAATAGGAGATATCCATTGGACGGTTCTCCCACGCTTCTGCAGGGATATAAAAGGGTGATTTCTTGATGTCTTCATTCAAGATATTGCCGTTTGGTGTCGGGTCGTTGAATAAAGGGGTTGATGTCGGGAGATAATTGGCTTTTTGAACGGTGTCCATCAAGGCTTCTAGCCAAAATCGGCGTGGTAAACCAGAGGCATATAGGACTGCTCTGGTCCTTTCCAAAATGATCCGGATTCCGCGTTCGCTAACGCCATTTTGCCAGGGTGAATAGGGAGTAGATGGCTCAGTTACAATGCAAGGCCAATCTTGATAGTTCCTGAAAAACTCGCCATCACCGCGCAGATAGGCAGTTTCATAGCCAATTTTCTTGAGCCATTCAATATGCTGCTTGATGGTGTGATTTGGCTTTTCACGGTTTTGGAGTGGGATAACCCATCGCATACGGGTGGCGTCGTCGGTGAGTATCATGACATATTTGTATTTGCCATTTGCTGGAGGTACATCATCATCTGATTCTTTGCCTAGTGTCTGGCCGCCGCCAAAAATATCAACGTGCAAACGTCTGCCAGGCATAGTTGCCCTTGGGGTGGGCCCATTCCCAATTTTTCGGGTGGTTTTTGCTCGTCGGCAAAAGTCGCATGTGGGTAGCAACTTCTTCCCCTGGATATTGATTCTTCCAATCCGATGGAGGTATTGCAAATCATGTTGATTCATATGGGATAAGCGGTGGTGCCAGTATTCAATTGGTGCTGGTGGAGGTCTATTTGGGGTTGAATTTTGGGATTTGTTGTCATCTGAGTCTGAGTTATCAGTGACTGCGTTTATCACTCCTTCTTCTTCTAGATAGTCAAACATGCCATTCTTGGCTGTCCGAGATATGAGGAAGGAAGTTGATAAATCTGGTGTTATCACCCGGAATTTATAGGGTTTGTCACGGGTGAGCTGGATGTGGAATCCCTGTTCTTCAAGTTGACTGAATGATAATAGGCGAGCATGTAAAGCGGGTATATATCGGACGTCTTTCAGCTCTACCATTTGTCTGCCTATAGGTTGGTGAATAGTTCCGACTCCTTCCACTTTGTGGATGCTATTGTCCGGCAATCTGACTGTGGATTGTGCGGTTGCTGGGATATAGTTGATGAAAGCTGACTTGTCATCATGCATGGTCCATGTGGCGCCAGTATCTAGTACCCAACTGTCTGACTGTGTTGTTGATTGTACTAGATTAACTACTCCATTTGCTTGTGTGGAGTTGGAACTGGTCATTGAATTAGACTCATTGGACTTCGGGGGGCGAAGTTCTGGATGAAGAGACCAGCATTGGTCTGGTGTATGCGGTCCTTTTCTGCAATGAGAGCAGTAAGTCGACCGTCGTGATGTTGATGGGGTTCCTGGTATTTTGGGAGAGTTGGGTGCATTATTCTGAGGTTTGCTCCCCCCCTTCTGTATGCTCCGATTGGTCGAATTCGGATTGTTTGGGGTGGTATTGGTTGGGTCCCAAAGCTCCTGTCGGTATATCGTGTACGAAATCGGTTGATAGGTATTGGGTGACGGTGGAGTACGGCTTTCCATCTGATCAATCACCTCATCCATATCCAGTTCATGATAGACACTTCTTTTCGACACTGCAAAGAGACTATCTAACTGTGTACGGATGAAAGACCTTTGAAAATCACCCAACAAAACAATGCCAATGTCGTGGCATATCTCAGAGGTAGTATATCCTTTCCGTTCTATTTCTGTGACTACTCGCTGCCACTGTCGAATCATCGAGATAGTATCGCCTTGGGGTCTCAAATTCATGAGCGTTTTAACGAGGAGTAAACGTTCTTCCGCAGGTGAGACGCCATATAGGGTGTCCAAACGGGATAGGATGTCATGTGGGTGTTGGGTATGGTCTGTTTGGACTTGGTGAAGAATATCACGCGTCAGGCGGTCCAATATGCGGGTATGTAGTAGTCGTACAGATGTGTTATACACTGCTGACTGTGAAGGGGTCTCTTTAGGCACTTCCTTTGGACGAAGCAAAACATCACGGGCATTGATATAATCCGCGTCAATGAGGAGATCTTTCTTCCATTCAGAATAGTTCTCACGGCCATGGAGGCGTTTGGTATCTCGCCAATGGGTTTTGGCAAGCTGATGGAGTTTCTTTTCTTCTCTGTCAACTGTTGATTGGCCACCTGATTGCGCGAACAGTTTGGATAGTTGCTCAACGAGTTGATTATCCGCTCCTCCCGGATTGGTCTCGGGTTGTTTCCCTTTACTAAGGTTACGGACCTCAGTTCTGTACTCATTCACCTG